CAGTCTTTTTTGAACAATTCTCATCCCTGTAACAAACAATAGTGTTGTCTGTGTCCACCTCCCTCACTCTGAGACATGTTTATTACTCTCTGGTAAAGTAGACTATTGCATTTTAATTGTTGAAACTGCATACATCCTGATCCTCTACAGTATTTGCTTCCACATACTATAAACCAGGCGTCGGCAATCTGCGGCTCCGGAGGCGCATGTGTCTTTCCTTCTGTAGAAGGAACAACCTTCTTAATGTTTTTGAATGCTGTAAAATTGTGCATAAGTAATATTCAATTTAAACATTTCTGTCAACGTAGTGCGTCATATCCTGCGACGCACTGCGAATGAGAAGTTTCTGTGAGATAATTGCATCTGTGCTTAGAAACTACAAAAATGGTCGATCGGGGTTGAACCTGTGTCACCTGAATGGGGGCGTGGTCAAAAGCGCCTCATTTGCATTTAAAGAGACTGCACCAAAACAGGTTGCTCTCAGACCAGTGGGGGAGGGTCCCAGCTCAAAAGTGGCCAAAATGATGTGCGCTGACATGCTGCAATACCACCCCGGGCCGTTGGGGGTGGACCCAGATGTAGAATTAGCCAATGCTAACATATAGCATTGGCAGACCTCTCAAAAACGTCTTTACAGGATGGACCAAAAGTTGGCTCTTGGCCCAAAGCTCCGTTCCACATGTGTGTCAATGCTGAGGGGGGTGAATTTTTTTGGTCCACTCTAGTTTACTTGCTGTGAATTTTTTAAGTCTCTCGTTCAAATGAATGGAGTTGCGCCGGCTGACGCATGCGCAGATGTGTTTTTTCACAATTTTCATGTTGGCGGGACCACTCGCGGCCATTTTGGATTGCTCCAGTAGAGCACATTTTTTGGCCCATTAGTTAGAACGGCAGAGATAGGCGTGACTCTGTCCATTAATATATACAGTCTATGTCTCAGACGCACCTCAGAACAGGTGTAGAAGAAAGGCCTGTGGAGCTACAAATAATGAGACTCAGACCCAGGCATTGCAGTTACGCTTTATATAGGCCACAAATTAATGATTTAGATGTAAAAATCAATTATTTGAAAACACGATATGTCCACTTTAAACAAAGCATTGATTTCTCAGTCGAGTTAAGTTGAGACTGTGTTGCTCAGAAAAGTTCACTTTGCTCCATAACTTCCTCTGAGACTGTGTCTGCGCTGTCTCCCACTGAGCACCTCTCAGTCTGTGCAGTCTCTCCATGAGCCCCTCTCTCTGAGCCCGCATGTGTCAATCAAACTCACTAATTATTGCTATGTTTATGTAAATCTTGTTCATAAAGTCACTTGACATGTCCTTATTTGGTAATCTGGAGGTGTGAAGAGAGATGTATGTGAGGCGGGATCATGACGGCTTGTTTCACAGGTTTGGCTTCAGTACGCACATGCATTCGGAGGGGTTTATAAATCGGATTATTTTCATACCTGAAATGTGCAGACTTGGGCTACATAGTCTTTCTAATACAATTTGACGTGCTCTTTTATTAATAAGGCCCCCCTGTGAATCATATCAACAAACATCCTTAATTATGAAAAAATTAAGTGGAACAAATATAAACATGCCTCTGTTAATGAAACAAAAGCACTCCAATTTGTTATTGATATTTTCCAGATTACCTATTTTTAATATTTTAAGGATATTCACAGATGTTTAAAAAAACACTCTTAGGGGTGGGCAATATGGGCAAAGATAAATATCTTAATATTTTTTACCAACTCCTGATAACGAAACTGTCACAATAACTTTAAAATATCATCCACCCTACTCCCTCTGCTACACATTGAATGCAAAAACACAGAATGGACAATGAAATACATCATTTGAATTGTTGCATCAAAAATTTTGATTTATTTTTTACTTTCTTAGGTATCTAAAATCTCCATTTCTGTTCCCTTGAAGGTTTTGATAGAATATAGACTAGAGCATTTTTGGTACCTTTTGTGCTTAGTTTTCAAAGGGCTGAAAATTTATTGTCATTTTTTATTTACTTAGTCTTGTCATGACAATATATGACAAGATGATATGTTTTACCAGCCCTAATTGTAAGTACACTAAGTGTATGTTTGAGTTTGTTTTCACTCTTCCCTGATTTGACTTTTCAATCTACATCGTGTCTTTGAGATTTAGGGACTATTTTGGGAGGGTTTTCCAAACTTTGATCTACATTGTCACACTTACAGTATAACCTACATGTACTGCATATACTGTATGTACTTCAGTGTTGTAGATTTGAGTTCAGCCACAGTTCTCACAAACATTGGGTTGTTGCCTGTGCAGACACTCAGCCTCGTCACAAATCTTCAAATGGACCTCTTTGTGCTTGTGTAGCTACAGTACAGGCTCCCTCTGCTGCGTCGTGCACACTCTCTGTAAAGATGTGCCATATAGAATTAATTGACTTCCAGTTTATTCTTCTAGCAATGAACACAGAGACACTTAATGGCACTAGGTTGTGTGATTGCTGCCTTGGGCCTTGTCTCTGTTTTGTTAAACAGGAAAATAACAAAGTGTGTTTTTTGCCATTTGTGAAGATATGCACTTAAATGTTTGGCTTTGTTTCAATTATGAATTTTTAATGTTACTGTTGGACTCACTTTTGGGAAGAGTATCAACACAAATGTCCCAAATTTACTTGTGGCCATAGGTTTTGATTGTTGTTTTTAAAGGACAGTCAGATTTTTTATTTTCATTCATCCATCTTCTTATCTGCCCCCAGATACTGTACAAAGCATTTGGATCAGAAAAGGCCAAATATGATAAATTATTCTCAGGACATGATGGCTACATTTTTTTGTTTATTATTGGGTTTTGTCGAATAGCAGGGACGAAGTGGGACACAAGGAGTTTGGTATAATGCAAGCTACAGAGGCTATTGTACAGGCTATTAGGGCGAAACTGGAGCAACCGGAAAAAACTTGCAAACTCAGTTCGACAAGCTCTGGTTTTAATTGAAAAAAACTAACAATACAGTCTGTCCTTAAAGCGCCAATGTCGTATAACAAATCTTATGCTAGACTAATAACTGGTTTATGAATTAACATACTGAGCAAATGACATGTTTGTGTCTGAAAGGTAAGATGTGCCCTTCATGTGCCCTGAACCAGACTGCACTAAAGCAAAGCGCTCCATCAACTCGTGTTGCTGCATCTGCCTGATAATGTTTTCATAAAGACATGCTTTGGCACCAAATCCCCACTAAATTTTATTGGGAAATAATTTTCTGCAAGTGTTTATTTTCTAGAGTAGCAACCTGACAGCAGTAATAGTATTAATGAGGCCAGGAGCTTGCATGAGTGGGCTTTACTTTCATCTGAGCGCACACCTTTCATTGCCAGCTCCTCTCTGAGCCTGCACCGTTACGCCCTGTATCAGCTGAGTAGATAGGCAGAGCTTAAGTTGGACGTGTATTACAACATTAAAATGAACTGATTAACTACATGCATTTGGTCAGTGAGGCTGCCACACTGTACAAAAAACACTTCCTTTGGAAATAAACCACGAATTGAGCGTATTCATCAATCCCAGAAACTAAACTAATTTACTCATCCGGTTTTGAAGATCTTAATAAGATTGTCGTTCACTCGCCTCTCTAACACCAAATTAAAATCACAAGTGAATATTTAGATCTCTTTTTTGTTGATTGGGAGCTACAAATGTCTGGAATCAACACGTAACCATTAATATGAAATTAAACAGTCCATTATTGAGTCTATTACAATTTTGACTCTGAATCTTCCCACCTAGAAAATATCCCCAGCATTTCAAACCGTTCAGCTCATCTTGTCAGGTTTTATAATGAAAAGATTGAATAAAATGGGGGAAAACCTAGTTCATGATCAATATTTTACTCGTCTACTGTTTATTAACCTCATTATCAGTGCACGTTATTGTGTTTGCTGGTGCTGTCCCAGATTTCCAAGTCATTGATTCTGTTTAGAGTTTACATTATGTGAAGCTTCCTCCCCACACGGCGCTGGTATCGATGTCATTCTGCTGCAGCCTGTTGAACCGAGAGCATCAGGATAAACAGCACCGCCTTGTTGTGTTGTGTGCTATTCTGCTTTTATTATTTTTGGATTGGGCTTTTTTTAAGCATGAGACTTGATGGCTCTGTCATCGTAGTGATAAGTCACGACAGTTGCGCTGATGAGGATTAAATATCTCACCTGTGGATGGCAGCACATATTATAATTAACACTATCGTTATAAATCTTGTGATATTGAAAATTAAATCAAATGTGTAATTGCCTCCTGCCAGGACTGGAGGAAATGTAATCAGCTGCTTTTGTTCGCATCATATCTGGAAAAGTTATGGTCCGATTTTGATTTGTTTCAGGAACAACATTTACTAGAACAAAATGAAATTAATTAAAACAGAGGCAATAGTTAGTAGTTAGTGTAACTTTATTGTTAAGTGGCTCTAATAATATTTTTGTCGTCAAATCTTCTCACAATGCAAAAAGTGATGAATAATCAGTCTAAAATTGCTCTAAAAATGTATCTTAATTTGAGATTTGCCAATGGGACAAGCAAAATGTTCTTGTTTTAAAGATACAAGAAGTGTCTCCCTTGGAATGAGAAAATAAAGCAACAGCTCTTGAAATAAGATTTAAATGGCGTTGTCCCATTGGCAAATCTTGTTTTAAGACTGTACCGTACTCAGTTAAGATAAAAACCACTCGATTTGATCATTTTTTTGCAAATAAAGGTTATGTTTGTAATTTTTTTTTTTTACATCATTGCACTTCAACATGAAATAATCAATGAAGAAATACAAATAAAAATCTGTCTCCTGAAGCGCTCAACTCAGGGCTGGTGCATATATATCAGAGCAGGATTATCGTCCAGTCCTTGATGTGTTTCTGGCCCTCGTTCTGGAAAATGACCACATGTACTATTGATAAATGTGGGATCACTGCATCTGTCCAAAGAGCAGCTCTATGCAGTCCTATCTTTACCCTGCCGTCCAGCACAATGCCTGGGATTGACACGGGCTGCACAGGGCTATGGTGGGCCGTGGTGGGCCTAGTGTGCGGAGCAGCAGGAGGAGGACAGGGAGACAAAAGCAGAGGCGGGACTGTGGTCACATGTGTGTTTGTGAATGCGCTGCCAAACGGGCATTATAGGTTATTTATATCTTGGCACAAAGCTGTAATGTAAGACAGAGCCATGGAGAGTTCATCTCGTTAGCTCGGTTTTCCATCCAAGAGTTATTATTCATTTTCACTGGAATGGAGATAATTTGCTTAATCTTGATTGTGAGTTTGTTACGGATTTAGTGTTGCTTCAAAATGGAAGATTTAACATTGGTGTAGCAGGTTGGTGTGTGTGTGTGTGAACCATTTTTGCATAACCAAATATTGTTTTTACAATACCCTAAACTCGAAATTCATCTAATTTGAATCCATATTGATAGTGGGGGGAAAAAAGCACAACATGTAGTTCCCTTAATCTGGGGTATCTAAACTTTCAAACCATCTAGCTCTCTCTCTTAAAGCAGGTCACTCTCGTTACTGTCTTCATCATGTATTTTTGGCCCCTGACAGCCTTTTCAGACAGTATCGTTAGAAAGAAGAGGCCACTCAGAGGGCTCTTTGTTAGTATTAAAAATATAACACATTTTCTAATAAGATGAAGACAACAGTCTGATTTGTTCATTTGACTTGTATTTCTATTTTCTACAAATTTATAAGGAATCTATATCAAACCGCTGCACTCTGTCAGTTATGATAATACATCGATCTAAATGTTTGCATCCCCGAGTTAGAGATTATAATAATGTTTTTCCTCTCTGGCTTTTGTGAACTATTGTTTTTTTCAATAATAATCATAATACACAATACTTACCTAATTCAACACTGTGGCTATTTCTGAAGTGGGCCATGAAGCATCCTCTGTGCGCATGGAGCAATTAGGATGTATTATTTATGATTCCAAGCTAAAAAGTGACACACAACCTTAATGCAGTATCTGTTTCCTGTGTATCTGATACAGGGACAAAAAGGCTTTTACTCACTCATATTTATCTACAGAACTACATTCCTTAAAATGGCATCTCTTATATAAAGTTTATTTTCCAGCATAAATAACCTGATTTTCACATAGCTGGAGAAAAGTAAGACTCCGTTTAGCCCAATGTTGAAATCCACGTGCATATGTTATTGACTACTTTCTCTGCTGACGAGAAACGGCCTTGTTTTTAAGTGACATTGTACTCATTATTTAAACGAAAACGAAATGTACTCATTGAGAACAACAAACAAATGCGGGTCCCCAAATGAATCAGCATGGTTTTGTTGAAATACTGTAATGCATTGAGTATTTTATTTTTAATTTTAAAACTATTTTTAATAGTTCAGATGGGCCCCTTCGGTGTTAACTAGGACAAACTGTCATTTCCATCAACATTCTCAACAAGAACACAAACTTGTCACATTGTTACACATAAGGCTCCTTAAAAATCCCATCATAAATCATCACAATACAGGCACAGAAACAGTCCATTTGTTTCGGAAGAAAGTGACAAACTTCAGATGTAATTAAAGTGGTACACTGAACTGAGAAGGTGAGGCGGACCTAATGGGCTCGAGTGGGTTGTCATGGCGATGGTGACTGAAAGAACGAGGAAAACCAACTAAAGTGATCACAAAAAGAAGAGACGTCCGCTTTGTTCCTCTTAAACTGCTGTGAAGGCTGCGTCGTATTCAGATGAGAATGTGTTCAGGGACAAGATTGTTTTGTTACCATAGTGTTTTATATAAATTAATTCACTGTTTTTGGTTAAGTGTAATGAGAGTCCTGACCCTCGAACTCGACTCGACTAAAGAGCTGCTTCTCCCAGGTCTGCTCCCCTGAGTGTAAACAAAGATCAATCCTTACTTACAGCAAGTGCCATCTGTAAACTGTCAAGTGAATTAAAGCTGGGGTACTTTACTTTCAGTCCAAACAAATTCCAAAACAAAAGGCAATTCTAAAATCCATCTCACTAGTTCCTCTTTCTAAGCTTTGGTTTCTGTTACATTTTTACTTCAGCTTTTCAAACGGGTGCAAAACAGGACTACACTTCTTCAGCCAATCAGCTCTGAGCCCAAAACTTTAAAAAGTGACTCACAGGGCTCATTTCCTCCAAGTACGCAAAAATCCTAATTAGATGTTTTCTAATGATACATTTTGCCTTTTATGAGACTTTCTCTTGGGTCAACTAAAATGTATAATTTATGAAGAAAGCAGAAAGAGGAAATGTTTTGCGTATAGTTCACAGAAGAGGGAAAGAGAGACGTATTATGCCTAAAATACCATTTGGCGTATGTCTCTAAGTCTTTAAAATCAGAAGGCTTAAACAGTAGCCGTCCAGACAAGTTGAAAAGCTGACAGTTTCTGATTAGAGGAAAGAAAGAAAATGCTGCATTTTGTTTCCTTTGTATTTGACTGTCAGTCACAAGAACGAGACACATTTTAGTTTCCTTTTTTCTTCATTTCACCCAAGTGATGATTCAGACTGCAGTGCTACACTCCACCCAATCCTCTCAACTGCTTTCCATGCCCTGCCTTAACAAGCAATTGGTTGAGCATTTGTTTTGATATATTCACATTTGAACGTCATCGCAGCCCATTCCCACCCTAACTTACCCCTACAAACATGTGGCTTGACATCTGTGGAGTGATTAACTTAGTGCGAGCGCTCGATCGGTGCAGAGACGATCAAAAGGCTCCGGTTGTCTGCCCCTGTGGGTTATTTAAAGATCCAGCACACGCTTCATCAGATGGGACCGGTGATGTTCTAATCAAATGTAATGTGTTTGACTCGTGCTGCCATTAAGGATCGAGGCAGGCCAAAGTCAACTGCCCTGAGTGGTTTTATTGTTATAAGGAAAGGAAATCTATCTGCTGATTTAGATTGCATTAATATTGCACTTAATTTATGTGTGACTAATATATATTTTAAAACACAGAATAAAAAGAAAATGAGAAGTGACTACCTATGGTCTCTATGGTCTTTGTAAAAAAGACCATAGATGATATAAATAGGATGCCCAGAGCGATCATGCTGGCGAGGTGGTTTTAGCTGCTATTCACTATCATTGTTTAGTAAACACCTTCAGCCGTTGGTGTCACTCTCTCTGCTGGGGCTTTAAAGGTTTGGGTTATCACGCTCTTAGGTTGCTATGAGGTTGATGTGAGAGAATTTGGCTCCAAATTCAAGCCCAAACAGTATGGTATAGTTAAAAGCATATGTTTTAGGCCATGTACATTTAATTACATCACTCCTATACAACAAATGCAACCGCCACCAGGACAAACCAAAGGTTTCAAATATATATATATATATAATATATATATATTATATTATATTATATTATATTATATTATATTATATTATATTATATTATATTATATTATATTATATTATATTATATTATATTATATTATATTATATTATATTATATTTGACCAGGGACAATGCGCATTTATGATTATTTCTACCTACATTATATCAATCTCTTCAGCACATATACAACAAAGTGGGGAAAGTGGGGTTAAGTGTCTTGCCCAAGGACGCAACGACAGCAGACATCATTGGGAGTCGGTGGAGAAGGTCTTGTGGTGGTTTATTTGGTGCTGTTGTTGTTGTGTGTGGTCTCGTGTGATCTCTTATACGGTACCAAATGTGACGGCCACTAAGAATTCTGTGGAACATTCTATGGTGACATGCAGTGGTAACGCCCTACCCATAAGAAAGATAGTTCAGTTTAAAGGAAACCCAGTGAAAATCTCCAAACAAAATGTTGATTCAAAAGGCTGCCATGGTGTGGATATAAAAAGGTAAAATACGGCATATATAAATAATGCACACATCCAAAACGGCTTATTAATAGTTAATTGGGTGTGGGGACAGAGCTGTTTGGTAACAAATGTAGCTGTGCAATGTAATGCAAAATGACTCCCCAGCTGCGAAAATGCAAGGAAAGATGTTTTAACTTTAGGAACGCGTGAACGAGAATGACATCAAGAAGCGCTCCCAACATTGTTTGACTGTTTTAACCCACAATAGTCGACGTTTTATCAATTACCATGTGGTCTTAAAACTGTTCTGATAGTGATTTAGGTCATTTGAAACTATACAAACATGTACATATACTGTGATCTATTGAAAAACCATGCACTGTTTACTGTTTTACAAGAGTAGTGTGCATTAATGTGCATGACTGTAAATACGCCAGAATTACTTAAAAGGCTATTTTATATGCACTTTCACAGGACATGTAAAAAATAATGGTCAACCTTAAAACTATTGTTACTTAGAAAGCAAAAGATCAACAAAAACTCATCATTACTAAACCAGTGAATAACACACTTATATAATATCCTATCATTAACTAAGTTTTCTTATCAACACTATCTGTAAACCAAAGGCACATTGTCGCACTGTCCAGGATTTTTAGGATAATAAAACACAAAATACTGTAGAATATTTGGGATGGCTGAATGGTCCACAGAATGCTGCTTGAAACTGGAAGCTGAAAGATTTTCCACTGAAGATTAAAAATGCCATTTCTGCATTCAAAATTAATTTTAATTTGTAGGTGAAATTGGGATACATGTTTCATTCCTCTCAGTGAATTGTGGGGAGAGCTGCTGCTGTATCCTCTTTGTCAGAAAATAATGACGTCCTCGGAAGTTTCTTTTTTTTTTTTTTTTTCAATTCTTGCCTCAAGGATGTGTCAAACACCCGATGAAAACATTTCCATCTCTTTAAGATTTTTTTGTGTGCAAAAGAATTTGACAGGCTGCAAAAAATGAGTGGCTTTTCCCCCTCTCGTTTAGGGCTACTCATTTCACCATTATCATCGTAACAACTGCGTGGAAGGCTGCAATTTCCACAATAAAAAGAGGTTGCCAATCAAAGCCTTCTCAAAACATTAGCATAGTTAAGTCCAGCCTCCTGCGTTTCCACAAATAAAACTGCCAGCGTTTTTCTGATGGTCTGTTGGATTAAATTACAATATTCATCTGGGGAAAACGGCTACTTTTGATTCCTGACTGTGAGATGGTTTTGTTGAATGAATTGGAAAGGCCAATCGCAAATTCTCTTTTCAGCTTAAAAATAAAACATTGTATCTTTTTGTAAAGTGTGAAACGATGCCTGATCACTTGATGTAAAATATTCAGATTTATTATTCAAGAATTTTAACCCTAACCCAGATTTTTAGGAGTTAGAAAAATCCTATACTGCTTTGGCAGAACTGGTGTTGGTGAATCGATACTTTTAAAAGTCCTCCTAGACGACTGTTGTGATTCAGGGTTTTGTTAAATCGATTTTTGACTTTACCGACTCAATTTTGAAATGGAATAGAGTTGTTTCCCAGCCCTGGAAACAAACGACCTGCAGTCCTTGGGTACATGTTGTCCTATTTGCAGCAGAGGAAACTCACCGCTCAGTCACATCACATCAGAGTGCATGGAGCGGACTTGTCACTTACAAAGATAACGGCATGATGTATTTGATAAACAATTCACAATAACACACACTTTTACTCGCAGAAACAACACTTCACTGGTGGCCATTCGGTGCCTGCAAACATTTCTAGACATTTCACTCACAATGTCGTCCAACTATCCAATTAAAACACGGGGCGCGGTGTCTCCTGTTCTCTAGTGTTTGGGTGTCTCTGTCCTTGCTCTCACACAGCCTCAGGTCGGCCCCCGTCAGCCCAGCAGTCCACTTTAATTACACTTTAGCTGGGAATCTTTGCTCTTTTGTCTTGGGCTGCGGTGATGCTGGATGCAGGTCAGGTGTCATGTCGTCAGCCGCAGAATGAAAAGGCAAAAATGCGTGATAGCAATCATTGTGTATTCTGAATGCAGGAATCTGGAATGATTAACTGAACACGACAAAAGTATATCACAAATAATCTACTCTTTGCCTGACAGTGGTGGTATTTGTTGGTCTCTTGCTGGTTTCTGATTTTATACTTTTTTGTACTCATTATGCTAAAGATAAAGATTTTATACTTGATTCTTTGCTAGAGTTAGAGATGTTTTTAACATTTTTATTGTTTTGAGTTAATGTTCATTTATTTTGTTCCGTGTGCTACTCATTCCTACTGTTCTGTAAAAGGTGATACAACACTGACATTTCCCCACTGTGGGATGAACGAAAGAATCTCTTAATCTTTTTTGAGATTGTGGAATCAGTCAGAATTTGTACCTGTATGCAAAGGTTTGGGCACATGCACTATACATGTTTATGACTTTCCTTCATAAATCATTGATGGTTTGAATAAGAAATGTGTCATATAGGAGACAAACACAGTAACATATGAGAATTTTGTATCAGTTTGCAAGAATTTTTGCGCACCACTGTAGATTCATCAATCGAACATAACGGCACCAACAAAGGGCTTGGAACATAAATGTGTGTTGTCTGGTGGTATCCAATCTATTTTTTTTTATTTATTATTTTTGAAAAATAATAAATATATTAATAATTTTATAAAAAACGTTTCCAAAGTGCTGCACAGATAAAAGTATGGAAGATCTTTTGGAATTATGTTAAATTGCAGATTGATTGTTTGGATGATTCCAACAATCAAACCCGAAGAATGCGTAAAAAACGACGCAGTTTTTTTCTCCATTCTTTAGCTTTGCTCATAATCAAAACATTAGCAATCCATCATCTACAGCTCGCTACCTGCAGCTACAAAGGCCCAAAGCATTATGGTAGTGAATTAAGAAATTAGACTATTTTTCTCCATTCCAACATCTTACGAAATATTCGTCCATTGCTAATACAAGTGCTTTGACTTCAGTGGCCTTTTGATATTACACACTTTTGGGTGCTAATCTCATAAAATTAGAGATCTTGTTGGCTGTATGTAGTCAACTGTGTTTATCCTCTCCCTCTTGAAGCTATTATTGCGGCTTTTACCACTTCAGAAATTTACCATATGAATTATTCATCCTTTTAGCTGAGTTGATATAATGATGTTGGCTGAATGACATGCTGTTTGAGGTCAAAGCTAATATCCGATATACGCCTGCACATTTCTGGCCCATGAATAACCTCCTTCTGTCACAGATGGTGAAGCGTGTCCACCCTCTCCTTGTCTATGCTATCTTCTGTCTTTCTCTTGTTAAATAAACACTTTACACATTCTTGCCCAAGTATGGAGTCGCACCACATTAAACCCTGTCTGTGGTTTGTTCTACCACGTCAGGGCATTGGAGATGATAAACAGTGCATTTGCAGAAACATAGAAATGTGATGATGCATTGACTAAAGGGGTGAATACTGATGTGTGTTGCCATGGTGATTGCAGGTTGGTGTCCAGGATGGCGGCGAAGGAGCAGCAGATCACGGAGGAGAAGCCTTTGCTGCCGGAGCAGAGAGGAGCGGACGTGGACATGGTCAGTGCCTTTATTCTAAGGCTTGTAAGAATATGAAAATTATGATATAGTAATAGTAATGGTAGCAAAAAGTAAACAAGAAATAATTCCCTAAAATAAGATTTACTTTTCCTTTACACCTAAAACTATTGTATTACCATAATCATCAATGGCAGTAGGAGCAAATAAGTATTTTTATCTCTCACTCCATTCGGTGTCATTATCATATAAAGATGTTTGCCACAACGCAGATTATGGTGAGATGTTATGCTTGTTTGCTCAAAAAATGAAAATAAAATATCTCAAACTCGATGATTCATAACTAAATTTCTTTGTAAAGTGGTATAAAGTGTAAACAATAACAAGCTTTATTTCCATGTCAATGCCATTACCCTAATAATTTTTTGAGAATATAAGGACGACATAGTGACAAGATTTTGATTTTGATACAGATACAGTTTTGCCAATTTCTCTGTCGCCATCTGGTGGTGAGATGATCCCACTTGAAGGGGCTGTGGGGGTGATACTATACAGTATTACTGTTTGGTGTGGAGTGTACTATAGTACATCTAGTTCTATACTAATCAGTTTGGTGGGGAGTGTACTTTAGTGTTATGTTAGGTGTATGGGGTGGGTGTACTATAGTATTAGGGCAACAACAGAATTCATTTTTTGTCGGGTTTGTGGATCAATTCTTTCCTTCAACCAATAAAGTATATTATTCACTTTTTGTTCAGTGTGCGTGCGTGTGTGTTTCTTTTTTTTTTTTTATTATTACAAAAAAGCTTTGATTAGAATTGAAGTGCCCTAAAACCATGTCAGCGCACAGAATGTTGTTTCACATAAATCTGTTTCCATGTGGCACCACGCTGCACTGAGAGCGACACACTGATTTTGAAATTCACTAAGGTCAACAAACAAATGCCTTTATTACTTGAATGAAGTTTTTGTGAACAGGCAAAAAGTGAACAGGTGACTCAATTAACTTGGTAATAAAGTAAGGTAATAATCAAACTATTACTAAACTGATACTAAAATGATTGATAGCTCCAGTCCAGAAATGCCCATTCAACAACATTTATGGACTTTCATCAACATTTTCATCAACATTTTCAATTCAATCTACTTTATTTTTGTATGGCCCTAAATCACAATCTCAGAGGACATTTATGGACATTAGTCATTTAGCCCTTATGGACCAATGGCTCTATGTGTTTTTATCATTGTATGTATTGTGTTTGATTCTCTGGTCTGTGTTGGCGAATTCAACGGTTTTGTGAAGTCCTCAAAGATAACTACTGTTGTTATTTAAGGCTATACTAGAATAAATTGAATTGACATGAATTGAACTGAAAATGTAGTCAGAGACAGACCGCCTACTGCTCCAAAGCCTGGTCCAGGAGTCCATCAGTCTAGCATTTTACAGTCAGCCGAGACCTGTATATTTTTATTACGCAGTGACCTTAAGCTGTAGTACAAGTAAAAATCAATATTGACATATACGTTTCTGTCTTGCAGATGAAAAAACCGATTGACATTCTGTGTGCTTAAACAATTTAACAGAGAATGAGTTCATCATTCTCTGCAACAATGATATTCATGAGATGGTGCTGAGAAAAGGGCATTATTGTTTGTTTAGTTTTGTTTGTTTGTAGAAGGCTAAAGTTCATCCTCTCCGTCTTATTCCGAACTCTCATTAACTGAGTTCAGTGGAGGACAGTACAGAGCTGAGCAGAGCGGTGGGTGGTTAGATAAAAGCCACTTGTTCCAGTCTCGGTTGTACCTTAGCAACAGGTTGTGTCTGAATCAGGGGCCCTCAGAACTGTAACGATGGAAACGCTGGAGAAGGGCCAGGGGCATGATGGGAAAGAACAGGATTCTTTCACTCAACATTACATGATGGATGCCAACTTTTCAACAGTTCATTCATAAGGTTTATTATCAGGCTGACGTGTGATACCATAGACTCAATTCAATTTGTAGACCCGTGGTTCCCAACCTTTTTACCCTGTGTACCCCTGTGTACTGTTACCCTGTTGTAGCCACATAAGAGTGGAGGATTTACTTTTATAATATAAGATTAACGTTTATTTGTCCCACAGTGGGGAAATTACAGCAGGATTAAAGGAGAAAATAAGAGCATTCATCTATTTAGGATACAGTGGGGCAAAAAAGTATTCAGTCAGCCACCAATTGTGCAAGTTCTCCCACTTAAAATAATGAGAGGTCTGTAATTTTCATCATAGGTACACTTAAACTGTGAGAGACAGAATGTGGGAAAAAAATCCAGGAATTCACATAGTAGGATTTTTAAAGAATTTATTTGTAATTATGGTGGAAAATAAGTATTTGGTCAATAACAAAAATTAAACTCAATACTTTGTAATATAACCTTTGTTGGCAATAACAGAGGTCAAACGATTACTATAGGTCTTTACCAGTATTTTGGCCCATTAATCCATTTTCGAGAGCAGTGATGTTTTGAGGCTGTCGCCGAGCAACACAGACTTTCAACTCCCTCCACAGATTTTCAATGGGGTTGAGGTCTGGAGACTGGCTAGGCCACTCCAGGACTTTCAAATGCTTCTTACGGAGCCACTCCTTCGTTGCCCGGGCGGTGTGTTTAGGATCATTGTCATGCTGGAAGACCCAGCCACGTTTCATCTTCAAAGCTCTCACTGATGGAAGGAGGCCCCATTCATTCTTTCCTTAACACGGATCAGTCGTCCTGTCCCCTTAGCAGAAAAACAGCCCCAAAGCATGACGTTTCCACCCCCATGCTTTACAGTAGGTATGGTGTTCTTGGGATGCAACTCGGTATTCTTCTTCCTCCAAACACGACGAGATGAGTTTATACCAAACAGTTCTACTTTGGTTTCATCTGACCACATGACATTCTCCCAATCCTCTGCTGTATCATCCATGTGCTCTCTGGCAAACTTCAGACGGGCCTGGACCTGCACTGGCTTCAGCAGGGGGACACGTCTGGCACTGCAGGATTTGATTCCCTGTCGTCGTAGTGTGTTACTGATGGTAACCTTTGTTACTTTGGTCCCAGCTCTCTGCAGGTCATTCACCAGGTCCCCCCGTGTGGTTCTGGGATTTTTGATCACAGTTCTCATGATCATTTTAACCCCACGGGATGAGATCTTGCGTGGAGCCCCAGATCGAGGGAGATTATCAGTGGTCTTGTATGTCTTCCGTTTTCTGATAATTGCCCCCACAGTTGATTTGTTCACACCAAGCTGCTTGCCTAATGTAGATTTACTCTTCCCAGTCTAGTGCAGGTCTACAATTCCTTTCCTGGTGTCGTTCGACAGCTCTTTGGTCTTGGCCATAGTGGAGTTTGGAGTCTGACTGTTTGACACTGTGGACAGGTCTTTTATACAGATAACGAGTTCAAACGGGTGTCGTTAATACAGGTAACGAGTGGAGGACAGAAGAGCTTCTTAAAGAAGAAGTTACAGGTCTGTGAGAGCCAGAGATCTTCCTTGTTTGAAGTGAGCAAATAACTACTTTCCACCACAATTTACAAATCAATTCTTTGAAAATTCTACAATGTGAATTCCTGGATTTTTTTTTGTTTTCACATTCTGTCTCTCACAGTTAAAGTGTACCTATGATGAACATTACAGACCTCTGTCATTATTTTAAGTGGGAGAACTTGCACAATCGGTGGCTGACTAAATGACTTTTTTTCCCCACTGTATACCATGGTCTCTATTATTTTCTTTAGGGGAAGTTTGTTTGTAGCTCAACTTTTACATCTGATAATTTTTATGTATTATTTATTTATTTTATCTATTTATTCACATTATTTAAAACTAACTTTGGTGCTTGGATTGAATCTAAACTGGACCAAAAGTAAGGAAAGCTTGTTTTTTGCAGACTGATATGCCACATATTATTATAAATGCCTTTTATGGTTAATGTTTTTAATTAAATTAATGATATGGTTGCTTTTCAATTATGTAATAGAAGTCCATATGAACCTCTTAATACCATTATGTACCCATTGGAAAACATTGAACTGAAAGATGTCTAGACTGGTCAACTGGTCCCTGAAGCCTATCATATGTATTTTTTTAAAAATGCAATAGCCATAAATCATGCTAAACTATTTGGAGTTTGTGTTTTGTCTTTGCAAGGCTGGATAGGTCCAAAATAGAAATTAGTTTTGGTGTGACTTTGCCTCGAGTTGACACTAGAGTTCATCACCAAGGGCAGCCATCACATGTACCCTTGGACATGAACTAGGACAGAGTTATAAGTAGAATGAACTCACTTGTGCTGAAAACAGAATACGCGATCATATAAAGTATCCAACCAAAAAACCTGTCTCCTATAAAATATTGATTTCAGACTAAAGTTAAACTGACAAAGGTTATTTCATTATTTTGACCAAATGTGTAATGGAAATGATTGAAAGCTCTTTACATACATACAGACTCCTACATTCTACACCCCCCGTCTCCTTGATTATTGTCTTGATCTGAATGGTCATATGTTTAGACCTTGTGCAGCTTTTGACAATAAAGACCAATGTTTCTGTAGTCGGTTACAGCCAGAATGACCCAGAAACATGCATAACAAGTTGCGACCCATTTTTTGTGACAAATTCCCCCTCAAAAAATAGGTTTAATAAATATTTCATATTTTGTGATGATATTGAAATAATTCACTGGCACTGTTTGAGATGGTTTGAGATGATTGCATGCATAAAAGATGAAAAATACAAGTCTCCGCTGTTCCCTTTTTGCAAAATTGTCACTGTCATTCTGTGTAGTGTCACTATCTTTTGCTTGTACAGGTAAGATGGCAAGTACTGCTAAGACTAACACATGATCATTTCTATGACCACAAAAAGGCTCTCTCTGTAGTTTGGTTTTTGATTTAAGACTTTGATTTTGCTGTTGCTGAGTCACCAATGTCTATGTGCAATGCTCCTGTCTCCTGCCAGGATGGAGGCGCGACACGGAAAAACAGTCTGTGTGATTACAAATGTTCACATGTTTGCGTCATGTTCCTCTGAATGAATTGATGATACTCATTCCAACAGCAGCAGCACATATGTATGTTCGAATTAATCCAATTACTTGTGATCATAGTTATTGGAATTATCAGCAATTTTAAATAAGTAATAATAAATAGTAATACTAATTCAATGGTTTCTTGACTGTGCACTGCTCTAAAGCAGGGCTGTCAAAAAGGAGAGTTGGTCGAAGACAAAAGCTTTGTTAAAAAGTTCCCAATTGTTTTCTTAGTGGAAAGTTTGGTTAAAGTTCATCTTTTGCATCTTTGAAATAATTGTATTTGACATGCGTTTGGGAAGCAGATTCATACAGCTCATATAGATGCAGTGTTTGACTCAGCAAGGACTCTGCAACCTTTTTGCACTTCATTTCAGGGGCCACTAAAAGGGTCAACACCATTGCTTTAGTATCACTGAAATGTGTCGCTGAAGAACAATACATCTATAATTGTCGCCCTAGAATACTGTACCTTCTCCTGACTGATATCTGTTGCTCATTGAGTGCATCTCTCTTGAAAACACTCCGGAGTCGATGTTTCTGGTATGTTGCTTTCTGTTGCTGTTCCCAATAACTGCTTTGTTGTGCTTCATGTTCCACGTCGCAGACAGAAAAAGGAGAGGATGCGTCAGGGGGCCAAGCCAGTCCCAGTCCTGCACCCCTTAACCCCCCTGCCCCCAGCCGCCCCACTCACCGCTGGCATGCCATCGCGCGGCACTGGCTCCGCCAGACCCGCAATCGGACCAGCGGGCCCACCTTGGTAACTACAGAAACCAGTGCCACCAGCAAAACATTCCACATTATTCAGACTGAACTCTACCAAGCCCCACACACTGCACTGACCTGGGCTGACCTGCCACAGCAGCTGTGTCAAACATGGTTAAGTTATTCTAATACTGCAGCAGTCAAATTTCAAGTTCCAACGATTATGTCTCTTGTGGATGGCTTGTAACATTACATCCATGAAAATATACATGGGATTCAGGATCAACAGGAGATTCAGCACATTAGAATTGTCCAAAAGCTACGGCTTTCAAGTTTTTGATCTTCCAGGACAAATTTATTTCACTTGAGAGCAGATGTTTTTTTTCCTTTCTGCAGAAAATCTTTGAATTATAGGACAAATATATGCTCAGTAAGCAACTCCCAAGATGCAGACACAGGTTTCAGACACAGCTTGATACAATTAATATGCTCTCAGTGCATATTTATCTCACATTTAAGTGGGTTTCTGTGATTTACTCTTAAAGTCAACTCACTTATCCTTCTCAATGATTGTTTTGTAGAGAATTAGGACATGCACCGAGAAACAGCTGCATCCCTGCTCCAAATGTGCTGAGAAATGAAGGATAAGAGTGCCACCTGCTGGTCCGACTCGGGCATAGCTCCTTTTCTATTCAATCTACAGGATGAGCTGTGCAGGACCGCTCAGCAACATAGTGTGTGTGTCTTATTATATTTGGTGGCACAGTGGCTGGGAGGTTGGCACTCTCGCCTCTCAACAAGAAGGTCCTGGGTTTGACTCCTGGGGAGCTTTCTGAGTGGTGTTTGCATGTTCTCCCTGTGTCCTCCTGATCCTCTGGTTTTACCTGAATACTAGACACATATAATAATAATAATATAAAATAATATAAAAATATGCATCCTGAATAAATCTGAACTTGCGCACTTGTATGTGGATACTGTGACTATATGTGTATTTAACCTGTTGTCTGATAAAGCATTTACATTGTGCCCCTCCCCTGGTCATGTCATTGTCCTGGTGTGTCCCGGTTCTAATCCTGTCGTGTTTCTTGCAGTATCCCCATGTGAACCATGACACATTTTGCATGTTTCCGGTTCTATGTACATCTGTAAAGAGCTGTTCTTACCACATCGGCATGTCCCCATTCTAACTGAGCGGTGTTGATTCTCTGCAAAGGAGCCTGGAGGCAGAACAGCTGCTGTTGCCTACATTGGCCTACTCTTTGTGCATCAGACTTTTGTAGATAATAATCACCTCAGTAATCTGAGATGTTTTGGAAAAAGATAAACTGGGAAATAAACTCAACCACAGATTTCTCTTGTGATTCCCCCATGAGGACACTAAACACAAATTACAGTAACATGGCCAACACCAGTGTAATATAAGTCATTCTTCCATTTTCTCATACAAAGTCTAAGACGAAGAATGGATTTTCCAAATTATTTTTGTTGTAGACTTTGAGAATATACAGACTGCAAGACAAAGAACAACAATACAAAAGTCAATCATAAAGTGTCTGTTTACTGTATTTGATCAGTTCTCTTTGAGCAACAAAACAGACTCCTGAGGCGATAGCATCAACATGAGCTGTTTCTAATGTTTTTTTCCACAAAACCAGATTCATGGATCCAGCTGTCGCTCTGAAGGCAGCTGGTTCTCAGATGTGTTTGGTGTTCGTCTGTGAGACTGCACATCCTTTTCGGTGTTTGATTCCTTTATTAGTGCTACCACTGTGTATTACTGATGTGACCAAGGAGGTCTGTGATGGTGTTTTCCATTGAGACACTATGATTTCCACAGACACTCAACAATTGCATAAACTGCTAACCACTAAAACATATCTTTTATAATTGAAGACCACTCTTCACTGTGATCTTGACAAAACCCGCTCTATGTGGCCATATGCAGTCCATTACAGCTAAAAAGAGAAACTTTCAATATTTGTTACTGAAGTTTTGTGGAAATCTTAGCCAGAGCATATCTGCTCTATTCTCTGCTTTAATGTGGCGCTTTGTCTCTGCAGGAGCCTTGTGAACAGCTGATGCCACCTGGAGACTGGAAGGTAAGGCTTGTGTCCTTCTCTTTTACTGTGGAGGTTTTTTTTTTTTTCTCTATTGTTTGTAAGATTATATGTAAGATTGTGAGTAGACAGGAGGAAATGCTTAAATTCACATTTTCATATCATCGCATTTTTCAATCATTCTTGGTCATTGGTGTGGGCCCCTAAGGGGGAGGTGGTGCAGGGGGGGCACGTGGGGCCACAGTGAACGTGCAGTTTTTGCTGTACGTACGAGAATGTTATTTCACCTCCATCTCCGCTCTGAACGCTGGAGCAATCATGAGCACTTTGGATCCAATCCAATCATAAAATGTTGAAATGTCTTTTAAACAAATGTATTACATATTTACGGTTCATGGCACTTTTTTAAATACTGTTGAGCTGAACTACAACCATGATGTAATCGAGAGCAGAGATAAAATTGTAACTGGAGCAGAACTGTTTTTAAACAAAGTGCAGAGGCTCATTTCCCCACATCCATTGTCCGTCAGTCATTCCGTGATCGCTCTTTGTCTATCTGCAAGAGAAAACTTGAATCTAATGTGTATCAGCAAAACATGTTCCCTTTCCTTTGCACAAAGATGTGAAAGTTATTTTAGTCTTTCTTGTCATTTGTCTCGATGTTTTTGAACTGCATCAATTTACACTGCGAACGGGCTATCAAATACTTTACAGTTCTCTCACACTATGATGTACTGCAGTTCATTATGGTAAAATCAACAAAAGATACAATGGTTTTTGATAACTTTGGAACACTTGTGTATAGTGATTTACTTATTTCCAAAAACATAAACACACAGTTCCATAGCAGTTAAAGAAATATTGACCTGCTCTGATGATGATGCTGTCCTGTAACGGTTCTAAAAAGGGTAATGTTCTAAAAGGGTAATCCACTGTCTGCGAGACATGGAGTGGGGGTCTTCCATGTGAGGCCAACCATCGGGGCGATGTTAAGTCCATACTGTATGTTTAAATGTGAACTAGCTTTGCTTGCTTAGTGCTAATCTAAACAGAGGAGAAAGTTAGTGGTAAAGGGGCCACAGGAGCATAGTGGGCTTTCATGTTTGAGTCAACAGGAAGAGAGGACACATAGGCAACAAAAAGGCCCAAAAAAACAAAAGCCCAAACACCGGTGAGTGCGGCTGCGGGGAGAGGAAGAGAGAGGAAGAGAGAGGAAGAGAGAGGAAGAGAGAGGAAGAGAGAGGAAGAGAGAGGAAGAGAGAGGAAGAGAGAGGAAGAGAGAGGAAGAGAGAGGAAGAGAGGGGAAGAGAGAGCGCTTCAGTGGCTCCATCACACCACCCTGAGAATGCACGTACACGGCTATCCATACTGTTGCTTTATTTATCCTCTCAAAACACATCACACTCACTTCAATCTTATTAGGAGCAATTGATTGATTGATTTTTAGTCTAATAATCAGCATAACTGTGATTGGCAACTACAAAACCCTTCGAGACTAGGCTCATTTGTCAAATATATGTTCAATGTTCAATATGTGCAAATCTGTCACAATCTGATATTGTGACAGATTTGCAATCAATCCAATTATAATTTTACCCATCTTAATCTTCTATGGACCATATTAAATGTAAGAATAATAAGGAATATGCATAGAAACAAAATAGCAATTTTCTACTGTTATTACGGAGGCACGTGTGCCCTATTTATACAAAAGATACTTACAAGTAGGGACACATTAAAACTAGGGCTATGCAATAAATCGAATATCGGCAATTAATCGGCTTTTGAAAAAAATCAAATTTGTGAAAAATGTGAAAATTGTGAAATCAAATGAAGGATATTGTGAGAGTTCCAGCAGCACATGAATTATACTTGCAATATTAGTACAGATAGACTTTTATATTACGTATTGGCGGAAACAAACTAAAAAGTTTAAAAAATATGTTACTTTTTTGCCGCATCGCCCAGCCCTAATTGAAACAAGAATGAAAAAAACTAAATACAAGACATCTATTTAAAAAAGAATAGCACAAAAGAAAAGTACAATACATAGCAGTTTATGTGAAAGTGACACTTTTCCAACTCGATAGGGTACAGTAGAATGCGGCCTACACATTACAATATTCTTAAAAGAAAGATGAACTATGTTGATCTTTAACCTCAATTCAACCATCTTTTTGTACGTCAAAGTTATCTTCGAGTGCCGTGCAGCATAACTTAGATTTGTTTATTTTTGTGGCGGCCGTGTAGCCTCATTAAGTCAACAGCAGGGGCACAGCAAGGTTAGAGTGGTGCTGATGCGAGCCGCTGTCTGCTGCCTCCTGACTGACACCGCCACGGTCCAATCAGGCACAGAGGAGGCTTCACCAATCGCATGCCTTGTTTCCCTCTGGGTGGGGGTGGGAGGGGGAGAACAGCGCCTTCATAAGCAGCAGGCGTGCGCAGGCAGATAGACAAAGGCTCTGAAGCAGCAATCCGCGAGTCGCACCCCAGGACCTAGTCGCCTCAGATCGGAGAGAGGCCTGGCTGACACTTGCACCTCCGATTCCTCAGCGCCCCAAAGCCCGCCTGCTGACACCATGCCCGAGTGCTGGGACGGGGTGAGTGCTGTCACATAGGCACACTGCACTTTTGATGCCTGCCTTTGCACATGCAGCCTAATCTGTAATCTATAGGCTGCTTCATGGTATTAGTCTGAGCAAAAGATTGAAGAAGTAATTAACAGGCTTTCCGTTGATCATTTTCTTAACGCTGTTGACAGGGTTTATCTTAACAGTGGAACTCGCCTGTGTTATTATTCTCAATGACATTTACTTGAAACTATAAAGATACTATAACAAACAAAAAAGATACATTTATATTTGCACAATAAAGGTGTTAAAGAAAAAGTGTGATCTAGTTTGTATAAAGATAAGGTTATTCATATATTTCACACACTGCGGAGTATTTGTCATAGTGGATGTGGTTTATGCATTGACTGTGCTTTGATAGCAATGGTGTCTTTTTTATGTATATATATTTGTCTTTGAAATAACATGACAATTTTCACATGCTTGTTCTGCATTGTCATGTTTGATCCTGATTTATATTGGTCCTATAAGAGAAGAAGGTGCAGTGCGGCAGGTGCTTGTGCGACTGCCCCACTGACACACATCAACACTATTGATGCTGAGCAATGCACAGACGCTGCAGATCAGCTGCAGCTGCACTCTTTGGCCACGTCTCCTCCTGGGAACAGTCCTCAAATAGACTACCTGCTCAATAAATGTGCCAAGAAAGGCATTCAACAAAATGACGCCGATGCAGTTTTGAGATTGAACCTGATTTGCGGCCAGCCATTATAAAAGAGGATACTCCGAATATTTAATTTAGCTCACTTTAAGTTCCTTACTGCAGTCCTGAAGGTTGCTGCTTTTGGCAAAATGCAACCAAATCCTTTGTAACTGGCTCCAATGATGAGGCAGATAGGACTGATGTTGGGGTGAAAATAATGAGAGATTACCAGTGGATTAACTCATTGCAATGGTGCGTTGTGTCTGCTGCATCTGCATTGAGTGGGGGTTTGTGCACATAGCAGTGACTATTATAAGACTACAGTAATGGTATAGTGTTACACTGATAAGATGCTGCAGTGGAGACGAAGAGGAAGCAGGTGCAACACGGCTTTTCCATTCACCAGTAATGTTTTGTATCTTCCAAATAAGTATTGTGCCTTAAATTGTTCTGTGGAAGCCCATCAAATTGGAGAATCATTTTTTTTGTGTTTGTTTATTTTTGTTTTTACATTTAGGCCATTATTTGAACAAAGATTGTGCTATTGTTTTATTTTTTTGCAACAAATGAATGCAATTATATGGTGCACCTAATAGAATTTAGCTTCAATAATCATTAGCACTCAAAGCTATGACGCAAAGTAGAAAGGTCAACAAAACAATCGATAAAGTGTGTTCTAGTTAAATGTGCATGTGTCTCTGGGATGTGTCTATTTGCTTTTAGAGCTATAGACTGTCTGTCAGCATTCATCATGTCAACAAACGCTTCAGAGCACGTTCTAATCCCTGCGCTCGTCCACCACTCGCACACCTCCATTTTGAGCCGAGCTTTGGCCACAGAGTACTGACAATGTGGGTCAGCAACACACTCTAAACTATAAATATTGAATTGTCTATTTAGTCTATGGTGTATTTAGTGTAAAGATATACTGAGATGTACAAAAGAAAACGGAAACAAAACTATTCTGTTCATCAAGATTGTTTTTTCAGGCCATGGTGAAAAAGCAGGGAACGACAAATCCCAGTGTATTATTCAAACCTGCTTAAACCTGCGTATGAATAATAAACATAGTTGAACACATGCACCAGTTCTCTGAGATCGACTTACTGTAATGCAGTCCTGAGGCTGTAGCATATCAGGAATCAATGTGCCTACGCAAGCACTGAGGGTTAACCAATTATATAAGAATTGTTTATTTTTCAGTTTTGATCAATTTTAACTTTCATCTGAACTCACTCATATACCTGCAGTGGATGTCGAGTGAAAATTCTGTCTCTTTTACTGTAAGAAAACACCTGCTGTGTGTGTCCCCCCGGTGATGTAAAGAGTGTGTTTGTTGTGATTACAGGAGCACGATGTGGAGACCCCTTATGGGATGCTGCATGTGGTGATCCGCGGCGCGCCCAAAGGGAACAAGCCCGCCATCCTCACCTACCACGATGTGGGGCTGAACCGTGAGTCTGAATGTGACGGATGTGTCTGTCTGTGGAAGGTGTTTTGTGCTTTTACCACAGGCGATAATGAGCCCCGCGCTGCTGTGTTCAGGAGGCCACGTCACCCATGTAGAACTGTTAATTAACACGCACGATGTCTCACTTTCACACAGCACCTTTCAAAGTGCGATGCAGGTGTGTGGCTTATGTAACATGCCTCAAAATAGACACACACGCAAAAGTTTGATCATATGTTTCAAAAGTCAGGTGGGCTTTAAGTAAGTGTTTATTTCAAACTTATATTTTTCATACAGCACAACAAACAAACAAGATACAGACATTTGATTTGAAAAATACAGTTAGAAAAGGGTTTGGACGAAGCAAATTCTCTTCGGGCACCCACACACACACACACATAATCACAGGCCCAAAACACTCTGACCATTCACCTTTCTCGCTTCATGCTGAGGGCTTTAAAGCTGGGATCCCTAACTTTCAAATCAAAACAAATTAATTTAGTTTTCCCCAAAATATGAACAAATCAGACCACATCCTCCTGTTTTATTTTGTCTTTATCTTATTAGAACACATGTTTCGCATACTTGTAAGAACGAGCCCTGTGAGTCAGAATTTGATGCTTTTGGCTGAGACCTTTTCTGTCTTTTTCACTATTACAGCCAAAAGATCATGCATGTGAAGACTAGGGATGAACGGTTATGAGAGCCCGGGATTTTATTATGATTTTTGACGTTTGAAAGTTATACACCAAAGCGTTAATTGCCTTAAAACTTGAGTCGTTTATTATTAACTATTGCTCAAATTTGAATAGTTATTAATTGGAAGTGAGGAACTAGTTTAGTTTTACTGTTTAGTCGTCAAAGAGACATTTTTCATAGATATTAAAGTAAAATCAACTTAGTAAACAATGAAAGACAATGTTATAAATAAAGTCACTAAAAGGTCATTGCTGAAGTATTTGACTGGTTGGATCTTTGTGTATATGGTCAAATATAGTGTTTTTAAAGAGGCTCATAATCGTGGAACAACAATACTGAACGATGGAACGTGGGAAACAGACAGTTCGCATACAAAAGTGTGTCAAATTGAGTTCCTAAAAAAGAACAGAAGTTAAAGAGTCTGTGATGCAGGGAAAAATGTGGGTCAGAAAAACATTCCAGCCGAGTCCCGCGTGGAGGAGGGAGGGGCCACTGCAGCACCGCATCACCGCTACAGTGTGTGCTCCAGATCCGACGCCTTTAAATTATATAAATGACAGCACATGGCAGTCATATCTGTATGCTCTTTGGATAATAAGCTGTCATGCAATGAGTATTCTGCTATTGTAAAAACAAAAAAGTTAAATTCATGACTCTAGGTTTAGAAATTTGCTGTAAAAGACCTGTAAAGAAGAAAAGGTGTATGGTCACTAAGACTTCAAACTACAACCCATCATAAGGATTCATAGAGGTGATACACACAAGTAGATGGCATTGGCAAAAATGGCATATGAATAGGCTTTTCAGTCTCTGATAAAAGCCAAGGGGGAGATGAGGCTGAAGGAAGCAGAAGGCTGTCAAAAAAAGCGAAATGAGGTCATGGAGCTGGATGCTGGGAGAAGCTTTTTGAGGAGTCAGCGTTAAGTGCACTGTGTTGTTTTAGGTGGAGGATTTATGGCAAAACAAATACTCGCTCTGCATTAGAATGACTGGACATTAGTGGATTAGTACTTTCTCTAATGATATTGTAAAAAACAGAGTCATTTATCTAGCAGTTAGGCAGCAGTTCTGAAATGAAACTAAATAGCTTTGGCCCATTTCCAAATCTTGTTTTATGACCGTCAGAATGTACTCAATTTAGGATAAAAAACCACTCGATTCAAGCAATTATTTCCTCATATTTTATCATTTTCAGCAGTGTATGGCTCGGGTGTTTGGGCTATGAAGCTGTCGCGTTCTGTCTCGTCAGCATTAACCCCGTTGTCATGCTAATTGGTCCGTTAAATTGCCTTCGTGGATGTGACCGGAGGATGAAAACATGGCTGCATAGTCTGGAGCTCATGAGTGAAAGTAGGTCAGTGCTGTGGCAGTGAGAGTGTGGACATCTTTAATACATGAGGCTCCAGTGCCGCTCGATTAAGAGCTTTCAACCCAATGTCTATATTCAGACTTGTCATATGAGATATGTATTAAATTATTGTCACTATGTAGAATAGGGTTTATTATAATAGGCACAATATTTACTATTTAGTCACTTTTTATAGTGCAATTTGTATGGAGAGCAAGGAGACATTTGTTTAGATCATTATGGACTTTAACCTTGTTGTTGTCGTAGCCATTATTGTTTTGCAAGTTTGAGTAATCCTGAATTGGAGGCTTCAGTGGCAAGGCAAGTTTATTTGTATAGCACATTTCATACACAAAGCAACTGAAAGTGCTGAACAAAACAAGACTCATAAATAATCACCATACTTTAAAAAAGGGTAAGGATAAAGACAAAACCCCTCAGTGTACGTGCTCCAAAATGTATTTTTTGTTTTGTTATTCAAAAAACTCAATTATCATAATCGCATAATCAGCATTGAAATCTCTGCACCTATGAGGAGGTGGGGCGAATCAAAAAGGAACTTCTACCACTTTTTTCGGTCAATAAGACATTCAAAATTAGATTTATATATCAAATAAAATATGAAATAATTTAATAATGTATGTTATTGTTAAATTAGTTACTAACCCCTGTGTATGTTTCCTTTCATTTCTATCACTAGTAAAACATTGCTAGACCAAAGGTTATTTCTGTGTCCCGTTCATGGATTTATAGTAACGGCCCGTGTGACTGCTGTCCCTTCGTCTCCATTATGTATGCTTGCTCCGTCGCTGCACAGATGGTCACTCTCCTGCCGTGTGAGGATCACTGGACGTCAGCAAATCTGTCCACTCCTGTTTTCTCTCTTGTCACCTGAGCAGCTCTGTCTGAAACCCCTGTGTCCTCCTGTGCCCCTCAGACAAACTGTGCTTCAACACCTTCTTCAACAATGAGGACATGCAGGAGATCACCAAGCACTTCGTGGTGTGCCACATCGATGCCCCCGGACAGCAAGTCGGAGCCTCAGCATTTCCACAGGGGTAACGTATCCAGTACATGAATATTAGGGTCAAAACTATATGATTGTCCAAGGCTTAGCAGGTTCTTTTAGTAAGACAAAAGTGTAGAGAAGCTAGTACTGCTTGAACAATAAATGGCCGAAACATAATTAATTTAGCAGTACTAGCTTGTCTACACTTTAGTCTTATTAAAATAGGGTTAGGGTTAGGGTTAGTAAGTATTAAACATAAGAAGACATAATTCCCATAATGCTCATATTTGGAGCTGTCCACAGTAAAGGTGCACATTACCATTGTCCTATAGACAAACTGAAGTCATTATTTCTTTGAGTTTTGTTGAGTATGTATGAATTGTGTCATTTTTTTACGTTCTATTTAGTTCCTTTTTAAAGATTACTACAAAAAAATAGTTCACAAAAATAAAGGGTGTATATATTGTACATACCCTAAGTGTCCATCTCCACAGATACCAGTACCCCACCATGGACCAACTGGCCGGGATGCTGCCCACTGTTGTCCAGCACTTTGGGTCAGTACTTTCACATAAAACCACTGTGACAAATTTCCTGTTAGATACAATATGTAGCTTCCAATCTTCTGTATTTCATCATACAATGCATTTTAACACATGTCACTTTTATATCATGTATTTGTTTGTAATTTTGCCAGATTTAAAAGCATTGTTGGAATTGGCGTTGGCGCTGGAGCCTATGTCTTGGCCAAATTTGCCGTGAGTATTGATTGATTGAATTGCCTAAATTCTGGATGTATGAGCAATGGGTGTATTCATTGCAGTCTTTTTATTTTTTTCAGCTGATCTTCCCTGACCAGGTCGAGGGGTTAGTCTTGCTCAACATAGACCCTAATGGCAAAGGATGGATCGACTGGGCGGCCTCCAAAGTAATTACTCTCATCTTGACATCGCTCTGTGTGTTTTAGGCTCTTCCCATGACTCTTGTTTTTCTCTCACAGCTGTCGGGTCTGACCAGCTCCCTGCCAGACACCGTCCTGCCGCATCTGTTCAGCCAGGTCCGTCACATTCGCTCTGTTGCTCCTGGTGAAAATGTTCATTAAGAAAATACAATGAGAATAATATTTAACACCACGTTGCAGGAGGAACTTGTGAGCAACACAGATATTGTGCAGAGCTACAGACAACAGATCAACAACAACATCAACCAGTTTAACCTGCATCTCTTCTGGAACATGTACAACAGGTGACGCAACAAGATCAAGAAGAAAAATGTGATATGGCACCGCTTTGGCATAGATACTTTTGTTTCTTAACACTAGATCTTCCAGAGCGGTCAATTTCACGGTTTTTGGTTTTGGAAGTGCAGTTACTCCGCTTATGTACGTTTTTGGTCTTCATAACTGACTGACTTTTTCTGTTTTTATATGGAGTTTACTTCAATATTTATGTTATATCTCTCCCAGACTGGTCCTAGACTGGTCCAGAGCAATCTCACCTTGGAGCGCTGGTTACCATAGCAACACACTGTTTACTTGCTGCAGTTAGCGTTTAGGCTGCATTCAGTATTTCATTTGTATTAACCAGTTTTTGGGAAACATTTGTCTAGTATGTATAGCTTTTGTGGTCTAGAAGCGCCTATTCTTTCAATGTCTGAAACTCTCAAAAAGATCAGAAATGTAAGATCTCTGAAAGGATAAATAAACATAACGCTCACATCATCTAACGCCTGTATTGCAGCCGGAGGGATCTGGACATGAACCGTGGGGCTCTCAACTCCAAGACGCTTAAGTAAGTCTCAACAAACTGTATATTGCCTAAAACTATACACAAACTATACATTAGTCAGCAATTTCTACGCTCCACTAACAAAACCAAATACTAAAAATATCTAGTTAGTCGTTCCGCCAAGAGCTCTGGGCAAAACATTACTCTACTACTACTACTTGGAAAGAAATGATAAATGTTATTATAGAATTTGTATTACTTGAATTAATAACACACCATTCACTGTAGGGTATGGCTTTGTGCGATACTAAATATCCGCTTATCCCTACTGTTCTGTAACTTGTGATCCAACGCACAGAGGGGAACGAATGAAGGATTAAGAGATCTTAATCTAATCATCTTGCTCAACACACGACATATTCTGGTTCCTGTGAAAAGGAGTGTGAGCTGAGAGTGCTGTTGTCTTGCAGGTGTCCAGTGATGCTGGTGGTGGGAGATAATGCTCCTGCTGAGGAAGGAGTGGTGAGAATCTTCGCTTTCCTTTTTTGTTTGACCCACTTTTGTGTTTTGTGTTACATCAGCCCAAAATAACCGCAAACCCCCCTCACTGTTTTATCCTCTTTTTTTTTTTCCTTCAATTTGTTCTGACACACTCATTACCTCACTGCACATCCTGTCAGTGCCAGTGCGAGGCCTCAGCAAACAGAAATGTACATTACCACCGCTGCATTTGGAAATTATTTTATGATATTACAACACAAATCTTCTTCATGTTTTGTTTGTGTGTGTTTTTTTTAATAGCTTTTATTTTGTCTAAATCAGTAGCACCAATCCCACACGCTCAGTTATGCAAAGACTGTCATGATTGGCCTGGATCCAATGTGTGTGTTTGTGTGTTGGGTTGTGTTGATAACTGCAAATGGATGAAAAAATGGTATAGCTGCTACAATCAAAAGCCCACTTACACTTAATTCTAAAACATTATCACTGAATTGTAGAAAGTAAGCGTGTCAGGATATAGAACACGAGAGAAAGAGATAAACTATAACTTAACCTGAAATCACCCACAATATGGCGTTAATCAATTACAAGCATTTTACTACTCAAAAATAATATTCTCTTCAAAGACACAGAAAATCCTCTAAATTAGTGTAAACACACACACTCACAAACACACACGCACAAATGGGTCAGGCAGCAAAGAGGAATACATTTTTCATAGCCTTTGCTGACCCTATGGCCGTAGTCCAGGTGTGTGTGTCTGTGTGTGTGTGCCCAGATGGCCTTGTTCTGTTCTGTCTCTGGGGTTTTCGTGTTTAAAGTGGCCCAGATATGTATGCTTCTGCACCACTTAATCCTGCTGCCTGGATGACACTAAATCAAATCAGTGCTGTTGTCAGACCGCAGGCAGAGGGAGGGATGGAGGGATGGAGGGAGGTCTGGACCAGGACGACCCAAGAGGAGAGGCTGCCTGTGTGATTCGTTACTTTTCCAAATGTGACAGAGGAAGTGCGAGCCGTAAACAAAAGTAGTTCTATTGGAAGAGACAGATGGAGGTCATGCCAATATCTCGAGGCTTGATGTGAGTTAGTGTTTCACTTTAAATGCTAAACAGACCCTTCCATCAACCGACTTCTTTATTCACCTAACATAATAGGAAATATAAATCATAGCAGCTTCATGAAGTTAGTTCTGAGATAAACAATGTACTTCTCGCTAGAAGTCGTTTCTATAATACAATGCTACAAACAAATGCACGATTTCTGTCATATTATGTTGATTTCAATGTTCAACATACGAACATAAGATGTCAGTGGTGTCATTTATGAATCGTTCTCATGGACATGCACTGATCTGTGATCAGGTGAAATGTTCCTTTTATACAAATCCGTCAGTGTTGGCAGAGAGTGTGAAGGATTAGAGCTTAAATCTCCCCTGTTGTGGTGTTTATGTGTTCACATGTGTGTTTTCACATTGGCTCTGCGGCGGTGACTCATCTCTGCAGCACTCTGCAGTAACTGGGTCACTCACGTACATACTCTGTTGTTTTATCACTGTAATCTGTGATTCCTCATGGTGTCAAACACAGCATGATTCTTTACTTATTTCCCTCAGGTTGAGTGTAACTCCAAACTGGATCCCACCAACACCACTTTCCTCAAGGTAAAACTCCCACCTGTGCTGCATACTTACTTAATAAAACAGTATTAGTTCTGCACAGCGTGATTTAATGTCTTTGATGAGGAATTATATTTGTTTTTTGAAAGATGGCTGACTCTGGTGGACTCCCCCAGATTACACAGGTAAGCTTTCCAAACATGTCTATGAAATGTGAAACTCGACCTTTTTAAATTCCACAGTCTCCTAGTGTAAGCGTAGTGTTGACTTGATAAGAATCATAATACTGAACTGCTCTTTCAAATGTTTTTGCAGCCTGCAAAGTTGACTGAAGCCTTCAAGTACTTCCTTCAGGGAATGGGCTACAGTGAGTATCTTATTGTGGACATGCAGCATTTTTCTAAGTGCCTAGAGGGTTTTTAACGTGGCCTTGTCTCCTTGCCCTGTTTCTCAGTCGCTTATGTGAAGGATCGGAGGTTGAGTGGAGGGCCAGGTACTGCCTCCTCCCTGTTCACCTCTGACCTATTACTGCCTTCCTCAGTAGCATTGGCATTTTCAAATTGATTTATTTATGAATGGATTTTGTGATGACTACGATGTTTGAGCTAATTTGAAATGTTTTGCTGCCATCTTTAGCATTTATTTTTATTTGCCCTTTAAAGACATACTGTACAAATGCCATCTCTTTTTTTTTTTTTTTAGAATAATTTTTCCTCTTATGGAAAAATAGTTAACCTAACCCCTTTTTCCCCATCCCTCCATGTTGCCATTGCATCTGAAGTGTTTCTCTTTGCATGGCACTCGGCTATCTCAATACAATACCTTAACTAAGCCTTTTACAATATATTTTACAATACAAGTGGTCATAAGGCCCTGGTTAGATATGACAAAGAGCTACAGTATTTTAATAAATCCACAATAAACCCATTGCCTGATAGCTGCTGCGTGTGTTTCCTTGATAGTAACCTAAAACCACTGGTAAGTTTATAATAGCGTCAAAACAGTTAGCATATTCTCTGCATCAGTTTCCTCTGCGTGTGACTCTGAACTGGACCCTGAGTTTGTCCATTGCATGGAGCTGTTAATGTGGCAGCATCATTAACAGCTATGTCCACTCGTTTAGTTGTAGACTGCCACCTTTCTCTCACCAGCGGCTCAGAGGGGTCTCTTCAGCATGACCTTCCCTGTCCCCAATGAGCTTCTTCTTTATCCCATACATCCACACGTGGTCACAGGCCCTTTGCGTCTTCTCAGAATCAAAGAAATAGTAGTAACCGAAAACCTGCACAGGACTTGCAAAAGCAGAAAAAGCTTGATGCGTTTTATTGCCTTTAATATACCTGTAGGTTGTGTTCAGGTTGGAGCATTGGATTTCAGTTCAAGGGCAGATACCAATAAATTTTTAAAGTCTGAAAGCTGTTAATATTTCAGACCTTGATGAGAAAACAATTAGACCATAGTTAGTATGTACTGACAGAGAAGATATGGGACTTTGTGTGTGCTTTAAACTAAGACTAGAAGTTAGATTTGTGATAGTTACCATAGTTACTTGGGAAGACTTTTCAGCTGCCCTTGACCACAACTTTAATGTCACATGAACACAAATTATTCGAAAAAAAAAACTCTGTGTGAACAACATTTTTGCAAGAGGTGTCGTTGGAATAAAGCCTTAACTTGAATCAGAAACGTGAAACTAAAATTTGAAGGCACCTGACCACATGTGGTTATGTATCAATGAATGGGATGAGAACAGAGTGCAGTCCACACTCCGCTCAGTTCTAAGCTCCTGTTGTCTCCACAGTGCCCTCTGCCAGTATGACCCGCCTGGCCCGCTCCCGGACAGCATCTCTGACCAGTGCCGGCTCCACAGAGGGGGCTCGCTCACGGGCCTGCACCCACTCCGACAGCACCGAGGGAGTGGCCACGGTCACCCAGACCATGGAGGTGTCCTGCTGAGGGGCAACCGCAGCCATAGAGGGGGGAGAACAGAGGAGAGGGAACAGAAAGGGACCGATCGTAGCCAGTGACAGCAAAAAGCAGTGGGCTGAGGCTGGATGCAGGGACAGGTTTTGGGGAAGAATGATGACCTGAAATGAAGGAAGTACTGGAAAGGAGGCATATTAAAACAAAGTGGTAAACATAACAAGCCAAAGTAGATAGTGGGTTTGTTTTTTTAACCTAGGGCGTGTGTACATCTGATTCTCTGGTTCATTTGGGGCAAAAATACTTCACAGCTCCGACTAAGGTGACTAGTGGACACATGTTCACTTGTTTGTCTGTTTTACATCCACAAAGAAGGCATTTTGCCCCAAGTGAACCAGACCAACAAGTGTGAACTCGCTCTTAAATTATGCCTTTTTAACACTCTCCATCTTTTATTATTTTTGTAAATGTTTGCCTCATTACAAAATGAATCCCAACGCTCTTTGCCAAACCATTTTACGAATCTTTTCTAGTTCATGCGAAATGCTGACAGAAGTATGTTTTGTCTGATTCAGAAACGAGGTCCTGGATAGATTCAGGTTCGTCCAGTGCTTTTTGCTGTCAGCGGTCGATGATCACAAACATGGGAACAAACGTGTAAATGTTGCATAGTTCAAGTCTGTTCTGAATCCCCTCCCTCTCATCTTGTGCGCCCCGTCGTATATGAAACCATAAGTATCGCTACAACCCCTCCAGACCTTCTGAACGGTCGTCGAAACTCCCACTTTGTGACCCAGCACTTGACAACTAGGATACTATTTTTACTCTTGAGGTGTCATACTTGTGTTTACTGAGTGTTTCTTCATTGTTAGCTTGCACCCTTTGACACACACTCCCTGCCCCCCCCCCCACCCCCCACCCCCAAAACATTTTACACATAAATTCTTCTCATACGTCAAATATAACTGCCATTTCACATAAAGATTGGATGGTGGGTTGCTGGCAGGAACTATGACAGTGTATTTTGAGCAGAACTTTTGCCATTGTCTGCATCTCTCTCCATTCGTGAATCAGCGTGTGTCGTAGTGAGTGGGCGTGTCCAGGATTTGACAGACAGCAAAGCACAGCCTATCACAGTCGAGCGCACAGGTCCGGTCCGTTGCCTATTTTAGAGAATGTGTTAGCTGTTAGTACCAAAGCATAAGTAGTTCACCTCATATTTAAAGCTGCACTTGGTGATTTAATAACCATATATGTATTTAAAACACAAAGTTTTGCGTTTTAGTAATTCTTTGCACTATTTAGTTTGTTCTAGTTTGATGAATCATATAATAGTACCTCCCATCGTTTCACAAATCACACTACAGCGTTCAGAACCTAAACTACAATGAACGACTTGTTTGATAAGGATTTTTGTGAGTGAAATCATTATGTCCAGTGTCATTTTAGTCATTTTGAGCCGGACGACAATCATATGTAATGACAATACAATGACTAGTAGCTGGTGTAGCATAAGACTCTCAAACACAAGCATGCACAAAGCTTTTACTAAAATTTAAAATGAACTGCTACAAACCATGGAGAATACGGTTCATAGCTGAGTGCAGCTTTAAGCGGTGTGTCATGCAGTATTGAAGACAATCCACTACATATACATGATGTAGGCTAGAGTAAGTGTATAGTATGTAGTATATGCATGCAAACGTAGACTTAGGTCATTGTATTCTAGAGTAAGAGTAGTTTTGGCCGTATTATGTGGTAGAAATCAGTAGGGTATTGCTCATGTCGGCCCAGTCTCCTGGTTTTATCTTTGCGTTCTTTACTACAGATTTTGGGGGATGGATAGTTTTCATCAATAAAACAAGAAATTGAAATGACAATGAAGGCATGAAGGCAAAACGGTAAATATCACTGGAGACTGCGTTGTTCTTTTAGCACTTTTTAATGTGGATAGATGCTAGAGTCATGGTCACAAGCAGTGTTGTTGATGTGTCGCCACAGTGCATGCGTGTGGTTCTGCGGTCTACGCTTTGTAGTCTCTTACTTGACAATCACGCGCCAACCCAAATTAAACTGGACCGGGGCGGCTGAGCCAGGATCCCAGTGTTATTTGTATTTGCTCGATATAAATAAAACCAAGCTTTTCTTTACCGCACCCAGCCCAGCGACTATGGATGTACCAAAGTTTACACATATACCGCACCACACTGCTATGCACACACAAAAAATAGCCCTCTTTCTAGGTCAGTGTTTCAGGTGTAGTCACTTATGTCCTAAGATTAAGGAAAAATATAGTTGTAAGAGTTGTTGTGTGGGCGTGATAAGTGTTATAGATGTGCACAGAAATGCCTGATATGTGAATTGTACTGTTGAGCCTTGTTTTTGGTGTGGCCTGTACATGGAGTGTGAATTTTGGCTTGTATCTTGTGATAATGCTTACTATAGATATTTCATGGCTGTATGTTTTTTACATAAAGGGTCTAGAAAGGGGGCTTCATTTTAGAGGGCTGGGTGCTACAAGGAGACGACAGGTCAAACGCAAGTGTACGTAATGTCTGTCGTCGTCGTCGTTGTTGTGTGCTATGGTATAGACTGTACCCATAGGTAGAGAATGCATTGTTTTAGATTAGACTGGCTGTGCTCTGCTGTCTCTGATTTGGGGTCTCCTGGACTTTTTGAGCTTAGTAATGTATAGTTATTTACCAAAGTCACTCATTTCCCAGTTGAGACTTTCAACAACCCTCTGTCCCCTTCTAGCAGGGGCGTAATTTCCAAGTGCTGAGGTGTGCTCCTGAATCTGAGGTCGCCTGCCAGAGCTGGGGCTTTTTTGGAGCCATCTGGGCGCCAAGTTCGGAATGTAGACAACTACCTAAACAAAAAAAATACCCTTTTCCTTACAAATCACATGGTGCCCCAGTTCTCACAGGCCAACCCAGTCACACCCTTAAGGGCTATCAGCTGAAGTCACTTTGTTAGTTTGCTGTCGTGTGGTTGTGTTGCAGTGTCAGTGTGTGCGCACCAGGGGGCCCCAGAGAGCACAGGAAAAATACAAGGTGTGATTCCTTCAAAACGAGAGAGATGCTGACAGTGGGTGATTGAATGTTTATGGAAAAAAAAGAATGTGTTGAAGCTTGAGAGATTATTTCAAATGTTTTGATTTACACTGCTCCTAATGTTCATACAACTTGCTCGTAGCTTTCTGTCATTTCATAAATCATCTTCACTTTGAATAAGCTACTTTTTTTTTTTTTTTCTCAAAACAAAAGCAAAACTGCCGGGGGGCTCCTGAATGTATTGTCCCTATTTGAAGTGCTGTACTGTAATGTCGACCCGCGCCTCCTCCTGAACAACCTCACAGTTTGCACTTCTCTCCCTGCCTCTCAATAATTGAATATTCTACCCTCGTACAAGTGATGGTAACATTTCATCGAATACTTTTTACTACAACATGTGTCAAAGTTGACTCAAACGCCCTGTATGTTAAACCCCATAGGTGATCCATAGGCGTCTGCGGAGGGACCAAAGTTTTTTAGCCATTTTGAACGCCATGTTGCCCGCTGTCCACTGACCAGCTTTTATAGGTCATGACAACAAGTCTCAAAGTTGATTGAAATAAAAATGATTACAGCGGACATTCACAAACATGTCTGCGGAACGTCGGATGGAAGATAATAGTCTGCTTGTAGTTTGTCAGCAAAGCAAGACAGACCTCATTAACACTAAAATTAACCTTAAGGCTTAAAAACGGTGTTCTGTGGCAATATTAGTCTGATTCTGAAGACCTCGGTCCTCTTTGCACTCGTAGGTCACAAAAAAAACTACTACTGTATTGTAATGTACACTCTATGTTCTCTCCTCTTGGACTTTTATAGCAACAGTAGGGTGTAACCTCATATTGATATACTTCTATTGATTCTGTGTACTACTGCTATCACTACTGCTATTCTTACTGCCATTTTGATTGATTTTTATCGAGCAATAAGTTGACGTTTCATATTTTGGGCGCGTTCCCAAAAGGCTTGTTTCTGTTCACAATAGTAGAGGGACTTAGTTGCTTGGTTGTTCTTCAAATGTGTACTGTAAAGATATTCTATATAAATGCATAGTAACTGTCTGTCTGTGTAATAACTAATAAAGACATTGTGTCAAAGTCATGTGAAGCAGTTTGTGTTTATATTTGTCAAGAAATCCGTTTAAATGTGGTGTCTCTAAACTTTTTTTTTTCATAATGTTTGTCCCAACAGAAAGAGTCGAACACACAGGCTGTCTTTTTCTTTAATATATTTGTATACTAAAAAGGAAAGGACCTTCTGTGAGTAACTATTGGATGATTTTTTCTGATTCTGTCCAAGAAAGCTGATAAGAAAGCATATTGAAAGATGGGAATTAATTAACATGAGAACTCCCAGAGCAGTCAATTTGACGGCTTTTCGTTTTAGAAATGTGATACCTCCACATACGTTTTTGGTCTTTTTAACTTGACTTTTTCTGTATCTAAATGTCATTTATATCTGTATCTAAATTATTATTCTAATGTATATCTTATTATCTTTATGAAATTATCTCAACCCTAGACTGGTTCGGAACAATCTCAGCTTGGGGCAAGTTCTTGTTACCATGGCAACACAGTGTTTTATTGCAGCAGTTAGCATTTAGTTTAGCTATATTTCATTTATATTAACCAGTTTTAGCATGTGTTATAGATGAAAGCCGAATTACATTTTAAACAGTAATGATAACCTAAAACTAGAATTCCATTAATTAGATTGGGAGTTCTAGAAGTTTTCTGGGAGTTCTCGTATTGAATTTTATTATGTGAATGCTAGCTTCCCCAACAGAAATCAAGTTCTCATAATTCCTATTGAAAAATCATTTTGTAGGAGACCATGTTAGAATCACAGTACGCGTGGAGCATCTGGTCCACGGGGCTGTAGTTCAAAAAATACACATTGGGGAACATCTTTTTCAAATAGATGCGGACGTCGAACGTTTCTTTTCCCGTGGCCGTGTCGTACGAGTAGAAGATCTCCTCCAGGTCTTTGCTGACGGCTCGCGTGGCGTACAGAACCCCACAGACCATGAAGGTGTTGGAGGTTGCCTGTTTGTAGAGAGAGGTGTGCCAGGTCTGACCCAGCACCAGTTCGTCCGGCCCCCCCTCCACTCGGGACACCACCAGGTTCCCGTTGTCCTGGTTTGTGGTGTAGATGACCCACACCCCCGACTCATCTGTGGCCAAGTCCAAGTCTGTGAACGGGAAGCACTCGTCCAGGTTGCAGAAGTTGCTTTTAGAGTTGAACCTGGAGAAGAGCAAAGATACATGGAGTTTATTGTTTTAAACAGTTCAGCCCCTGCGTATAAGTCAGGGGCCCAGGTCTTGTCTTAAAAACTCAAAGAGACTGAACCATTGCTGCTGCTGCCCCCAAACTAGAATAGTCAACCTCTGTACATAAGAGCAGCTCCTTCATTGGAGGTTTTTAAATCTAGTCCAAAGACACATTTTTACGCCTTGGATTTTAACACCAACTGAGTTTTACTTTTTGTATTTATGTATTTTAGGCTGTTTTCTTTAATTTTTTATCTTTTGTGCCTCTAAAGAACTTTGGGCAGCGAGTGTTTTTTAAATGTGCTATACAAATAAATCTGACATTGACATTGTATCACACAAAGCCTAGTTGTCTGAGTTTGGGGAGATTTCTTCAGGCAATGCTCACATAATTCAACTTTTTCAACCTAATGACAACAAATTGCAAATCGGCTGTTGTCATTGAGCTGAGAGCTGATTGGATGACTGGCTGGTTATTTCTTTCATTTGACAACAGAGGCCAAAAATATGTTGATTATGAAAACTTTGGATAGAAATAAAATGTTTTGACCCTTTTTTATGCTTCTAAATTGAGTTACCGCAGGTTTAACTGTAGACCGATGTTTCAGTTTCATCTTTTGGTGTGCCTTTAGAAATTATCTTCTATCACCTAATTGGTAAAAATAACGTAGAATAACTTTTTTTGCGGTCGTCTGATTTTCTGCGAATGACTGCAGAGTTTCAGTTTTGTATGAGTGTCAGATGGTGGTGTCCCATGTGGTTGTTTTCACTGTGATAACGTTTTTTTAATATATATACAAATGTGTGATTATTACCTGGTTCCTTTGGGCAGCTGTAGAGTCGCCACAGTTTTGGTGGACAGATTAAATCTACACACGGCGTCCATGTTGTAGCAGTTGTAGTACAGAGCGCCTCCGTACAGGACGGCGTTTGGCCCCTGCACGGTGTTGGTGGTGGGGTTGGAGGGGTGGATCATGACATTACCTGTAAGCAAGTCATCTTTATTTAGTTTGTAATAGTTATACAGAAAATGTATATTGTTAAAAAATTGGAAGACATATTTTTCTGTCTTTGATCATCTTACAACATTCACACATAGTTTAATTTAAAGTACATAGGAGGATTTTCCCCAATTTAAGGAAAGAACCGCCCTCCTCAGATGGAATGCCTATTAAAATGTGTCTCGCGTTATATTACCGAATGATTGACAGTTAGGACCAATAGTCTAGATCAGTGTCTCCCAAAGTGGGGTCCGCGGCCCCCTGGTGGGCCGCGAGGGTACTGCAGGGGGGCCGCGGGAGGTCATAAAAAAAATAAAAAATATATATAATTATTTAATGTTAAATTTATAATGTTTTGTTTGTAATATTAAAATATTTGTGTTCATTATTTGACTTGAATAATCCACTGTAATCATTTTTGTATTACAATGTTTGTAGCAGAGGCGATTTCCCCAAAATAAAATAACCAGAAGAGCCTATTCTTAATGTTGTCTTCTTGGTTATTATTTTGGGGGGCCACGCAGACCCGTCAGATTTTTAAGGGGGCCTCGGTGTTACTGAGTTTGGGAATGGCTGGTCTAGATGATCCACCCAGATGAAGAAAATCCTCCCTTATACCTTCAAGGTTTTCCACTATGTTTCTATCAGTTTTAATTATCTTTTAAATCAATCAGTCAATTGAGAAACGTAGAAAAAAGACTAAATTTCACTTAATTCAATAAAAATCTGATTAATTTATAGATTATGTGCTGGATGTGGCACAGTTGATAACCAATTCCAGTGTCAAGCAGAGCTGCTGTCTGTTTATTTAAAATGAAATGGAAGTAATGGTAGTAATAAAAATGTATACTTAAAAGGGTAGGAAATCAGTGACATATTATGTTTATGAGTTTTTGAATTAAAAAATCTTTCATTATTTCAAACACAAACCTATGTCTTCTTCCTTACCCACTGATATTACGTTATGTACTTTGACAATGTACGTTAAGTATACATTTTGAAGATACTGCACTGCTTTAATGTCCCTCCAATAGAAAAAATAAAAAGCATAATACAGACCTGGCACGCTGATGCCCACCACCAGAGAGCTGAGGCTGGAGTACAGACGTACGTAGTGGGCGTAGCGGTTGGAAGCAGCCATTGGGACGAACCAGTACCAGCTCTCCTTGCCGCCCTCGGGTTTAGGGTCTTGGCCCCACGCTCCATACTTGTAACTCCCCGGATACTCCCCTGCTGTGTGCATCCTGGGTCTGGTCACGTTCTGGAGCCGCCCGTGTGGACACAGCGCTAAAACATAATGTGGGTCAGAAATACTGTTAAAAACTGAACAGTGGTCATTAACACTAAAAATCCCAGAGCAGTCAATATGACGGGTTTTTTGTTTGTTTGTAAATTTTTGGTCTTTCTTAATGTAGGATCTTTTATCTTTTATTTTTAGATTGTGAGGAATTATAAATTTAACTCTCAGAGCCAATGCTAGTTACCATGGAAACACACTAGTTTCTGTCAAATGTTAGGATTCTATTTTTTTCTCTTGTTCATATTATATTCACCAATTGTTTACTCTTTGATTACCTCATCATTAAAACTAATGAAAAACTAAACATTTTGGGGAGAATTTTTCAGATTTCCATTGGTTTGAATAGGAGCAGATAAAATGACAGTTGTGGTAGTTTCAGAATTGTGGGAGTCCTAGTTTTAAACTGCTCGCTTTTCCTTTTTTTTACTCATTAATCATAAACATGTATTTGTCCTCACAGAGAAAAGTATAAGAACTGGCTACTTTCTTCAAAAAATAACAAAACAAAGCTTGCGTACCTAACTTTTATCCCATCAGAAAGACCCTTGTAAAAAGTAAAGTCTTTTGCACATTTGTGAGAAAAAGCCCAGTGGCTGTGAATCCCTGTTCTTTGGGTTAGGATGCTTCTCTTACTTTTTGATACAAAAAAGAGGATCTAAAGATTTAAAAAAAGAGAGAAAAAAAAACATTATTACATAGTTCTCTTTTAAAACTGCTGCTGAAAGTGAGTGCTTTGAAAGTTGGGTCGTTGAACTTGAACTTTAAAATCTTGGGAAAGAGGAAGTTGTGGAAACCTAATAACTTCTGGTAACCATTGTTTGACCCTGAAGTGAAACTGCAAACCCCACTCTGTTCCTCTTAAACACAAGACAGTTCACACGGTGCGAGAGTGTGTGTTACCATGAGGGGGGACACTGGGTGGGGCAGTGGGCGGGGCTCCGTTCCTGCACTGGTCCAGGTCCCTCTTGAGGCGCTGGTTTGTCTGGTCTCTTTTGATCACCTGCTGAGTGTCAAAACTCTGCAGCTGTTGAAGCTCGGCTCTCAGGGTTTGGATCTGAAAGAGCAGGACAGGACTCTGGCTTGTGTCGCAAAAAAGTAAATATTGTATCGTCAGAACAAACACGTCTTGAGTAGTTGCGGGAAAATCATATTCACGCTTGAGAAGAACTACAAAGACCATGATCCTTTTCTGTGCAGAGATGAGACTCCATCTTTTAATGAATTATGATTAATATAGTTGGATTTTTTTAAAGGAGATAGTCGCATAAAATCTTCAATTCCGTCTTCAAAATATAGCAATCCAAAGGTGACGTTATTCTTGATTTTTATACTTTATTGTTACCGTAGACACATTTGATCGCTTCCAATGCCTGTAGGCTCTACATGGCAACCAGTCTGGAATAGCACCTGGAAACAGTAGCCACAGCTGCCCTGGGGTAGACTGACGCACACACACCAGACTCATACTCGGCAATGTGGGTGAAGTGTCACCCCCCCCGGTGTTTCCAGAGGTCTCCCATCACAGCACTAACCAAGCCCTGCCCTGCTTAGCTTCAGAGGTGTGACGGGATCTGGCTTTCAAATTCAGAGGGTGCCAAACATATATGTATAACATTATAAGCAAACATGTATTTATACTTTGTGATATGTTATGATTACAAACTGCTTGCATTTGAAAAAAAATGTGTATAAAAAGCTTAGAAACTTTTTTGCCATTTTTTTCTGCCCCTCTGTTCTCTCACCTGTTGTGTGGTGTCCCGGGCCTGCTGTGCGTGTGCTTCCATGGTGGCGTTGAGCTTCTCCATGAGCAGCGTGATCTCGGTGAGTTCGTTCTGGATGACGTGCAGAGCCAGGACCCCGTACAGGCCCCCGTCATCCTGCAGCTGTAGCTCGGTCATGTCCTGCTGCAGCTGTGGAAGCCGCTGCTCCAGACCCAGCAGGAGGGATTTCAGCTCCATCGACTTGGACACAAACAAACACTACCGTTTTGCAAATACACCAGTCATTTCTGCACTCTGAAACAGCTGCTTTATCAATGGCCCGAGGTCTGAAGCTTTCTTTTCGGAGTCATTTGTGACATAGAACTCTGAACAAAGAGGACTGTGAGCTGTGAAATGCCTGTTCTTGAGGTTCTTTATGCATCCAGACTCTTAAAACGAGCTCTTAAAATCACCAATGACTCTCTGCCTCCTGGAAAAGCCATGTTCCAGCTTCTTCCCTCTGGCAGAAGAATCCGTTTGCTGTGCTGCAGGACATCTCGATATGACAACAGTTTCATCAGTCTAAACACAGCACTGTAAAAATCTTGCACTTGAATTGAAACTTTTTTTGTTGATTGATTTCACAGTGACAACTTTTTGGCTTGTTTTATTTTATATGTGTCTGGTGCACACACATTTGCACAAGTATTCCAATATGGTTTGACTGCAAATGGCACATACAATTATTCCAGGGTTAGGGGAAGGGTTAAAGTTAGGGAAGTAAAAAGGAAAAGTAAAAGTATCAACTAAAAGCTATATCTTTCCATTTCTTTTCCATTGTAAGCGACAAAAAATATTTTACTGAAAATATATCATTTTTCTACTTCGGTGTCCACTACTTTTACTTGTTTATATTTGTGTGGCTTGGTTAATGGTACTTTAATTCAACCCTTTAAGTAGGAAATTCCTGTTGAGATTAGCAACTACTTTTACAAAGGAGTCCAGGCCAATACACAAAGAGTATTATTCTGTTTTAAATATCCAAGATCATCAAAGTACTTTACCTTTTTTGGACTGACCTCGTTGATACAGCCGGACACATTCTGCTGGATGGTCTTCAGGTTGTCCTGTGGAAACGCCTTTGTGTTGGAGAGCTTACACACACACTGGTCTGGAGCTAAAGATGGCTGGAAAAAGAAAACATAATAAAAAAACGTTATTTATGTATGAATTGTTTTGTGTGTGAATGTGGCGCACTAACGGATTACCAAAATATCCCATTCCTGCAGAGAGAGTGTAAAGAGCGCACACAAATACAGCAGAGACTTCATGGTGTGTTTGAGGACAGCTTTTAGTGACAGTAATTTCAGATTTTCTTCAGTGTTATTATCGCAGCAGCATCAGCCTCAGTGGGTGGAGTTTGGGCTTGTGACTTTACTCAACCCTGGCCTTTCCGTTAGAACTGCACACTTCCTTTTTATGGTCAGGAGTCGACCACTGGGACTTTTTCTGGACTTCACCCACAAAAGTCCACTCTTTGAAAACTGCTGTGTCCTTCTGTTTTTGGAGTTTGCTCCCTATGTCTGCGTAAAATCACCCAGTGAAAGGTGTCCTGTCCATGCTCAGCCCATCACGGAGAGAGCTACCACTGCTGATTTGTTTGTTTTGTGCAAAAAAATAAAACAATTGTGAAAAACAATCTTGTATATGTATCTATGTATATGTAGTGTATGTGTACATAACAAATTCTAACATATTTGTTAGTGGCATTGCAGGATGGGTCAAATTCTGAGGACAAATTGCCAGACTTTCCTTTGTCCCAATTTCAGCCCTTTCAAATAAAAATGTATTAATAATGAATATTTCCTAAAACTGTATGAACTATTTCAGTTTTCATGCAGGGCCTATTATTTATTAGATGCGGAATTGGACCAAACAGAAACTTCAAAGCACTACTGCACTTCATGTATGTACTAATTTTCTATCTTTTCTAGCCCTGTATCTCACTGCTAATTTCCCTTGCGGACACTAAAGTTTTTCTCATCTTATCAATGTTTCAGATTCAAATTTAGACTACTACTAAACACATATTAAAATAAATACATGTTTTAAATAATAATAGCGTAAGCTGAGTCAGGGTTGGGGAGATGCAGGACTGCTTATATATTTTTGCTTTTATTTATTTCGCTATAAATATAAAAACAAATCCAGGCTGATTTAACTGTGGTAACGTGTGGCTGATATTATTCAATATTAGGCTCTTTTTTTTTGAGAAGACAGGGTCCATATACAAAAATACTGACAGAAACAAAGGCATGGACATCAGACTCCACAGAGACTCCCACGGTTCTATAATGGTTACCAAGGAAACCATCGCACGTACAGTACATAAAGGGAACAATGTTTAAGATGATTTTGGGAAATGGTGAGTTTCACATCCACAAGCAGCCCTTCCCCACACATCACCTACGTCACAATATTATAATTAAGGAGGGGGGTGGAACTCTTCAGTATTAAAACACTGTGTCTAAACGTTGAACTGTTTTTGTCTCCCTACAGACATGATGCTGCTCCTGCTTCTGTTACTGCCACCAACGGTAAGAATTATAGTTTTAATATTGTGTGCATTCCAATAAAGTTCTTTAATTATCAACTGTAACTTTGGCCTTTTTTGAGAGACTGTATGCAAACCTATTTCTAACGACAAGCAATTTCTAATACACATCTGTGACACACATTATAACAATAACAACTGTCTTCTTTTTGCTGACTATATTTGACTATAAACATAAATAATTCTAATATGTGTTTAGGCTATTCACGTGTCTTTTCAAATGAATAAAGATGGTGTATGTGTGTGTTAAACGCAGCTGGAGGCGCAGAGTCCGCAGCTGGTGGGGCAGCGGCAGGAGGATGGTGTGTGTGTATGCAGTGTGGACCCTGAGCTCTGGACGTTCCCCGTGCAGAAGTTTGAGAACGTCCAGCAACAGCTCGACTCCTGTGACGACTCCCTGGACAACCTCAAAGAACAGGTGACCACATGTTCAGGTTATGTTGGTAACCAAGCATATCAAGGGATGAAACAACTATACATCTCTGTCTGTATCTGTGTATATGTGTCTGTGTCTGTAACTGTGTCTGTATCTCTGTGTATGTATCTGTCTCTGTCTGTCTCTGTCTGTCTCTGTGTCTGTCTCTGTGTCTGTATCTGTCTGTCTCTGTGTCTGTCTCTGTGTATGTATCTGTCTATGTATCTGTCTCTGTGTCTGTCTCTGTGTCTGTCTCTGTGTATGTATCTGTGTCTCTGTGACTCTGTGTCTGTCTCTGTGAATGTATCTGTCTCTGTGTATGTATCTCTGTGTCTGTATCTGTGTCTCTCTGTCAATGTATCTGTCTCTGTGTATGTACAGTATCTGTCTCTGTCTCTGTGTATGTATCTGTCTCTGTCTCTGTGTATGTATCTGTCTCTGTGTATATATTTTGTATCTCTGTGTCTCTGTGACTCTGTGACTCTGTGTCTGGGTCTGTGTCTATATCGCTATTTCTATCTCTATCTCTATCTTTAAAGCCTGGCTGCCATTGTATGTCTCAGGTGCAGCTGTCCCGTGATCGTCTGCCCCTCTTCCAGTCCGCTGTGGCCAATATGAGCGCGCGTCTCCAGCCCTTTGAGTACCTCCAGTACAAAGGACTGTACTCCACGCTGCGCCTGCGCCAGCTCGGTACCGACATCAACCAGCTGGAGGCGCACATGAGCGCAGTGCACAGTCAGTTCAATAACGAGCACACCCGGGCTCTCACAGATGAGGTACAACACCTTTTACAATGTGTTTATGTACTTAATGTAGTAAGATATAAAAACGTTTATTCTATGTATTTTATTTATGTATATGCATATAATGTGTCAATAACTGAACATTGAACAATTAGTGAAGCATTGCTGAAAAAGAAAAATCGAATTACATTGCTACCATCCATACACATTAATTTGCATAAACAGTGTGTGACACAGGTTTTTCACTCCTGTATTATTAGGTCGTCAAAATCCGTCAAAATGTGAAACGAATGAAGACGACCGATGACATCAATTTGAAGACAATGAAAGAGCAAGTGCGCTATTTAAAGAACAGAGTTGAATCCTGTAAATCGATTCCCAATGACTTCAGAGGTGAGCGCCCATAAACACTATATCCTTCAGGCATTTAAGAATGATTTAGCAAAGTTGCAAGTTTAAAATTGAAAATAACAAATTACTTTTTCCATCAAAAATACAGTATGTACTCCAGAAAACACATCCCTCCGATAGTTCTGGATCCCCCTGTAATAATAACACAGAAGATCCCGATTGTGATCTTATCTTAATCTCCTATATCTTGTGGTTTTCAGTGCCGCATCAATACTGCAGCAAAGGTATACCTAAAGTGTCAGGTCCATATTTTCCAGATTTGTCCTAAAACAGATAAATGGCTTGACATGGAAATTGGTTGAAATAAAACTTGCAAGGTTGATACAATTTCTTATCTTAAAAGTATATAGGAGAATTTTCTACTTCCGGGTAGATCATCAAGACTATTGGTCCTCCAGAATGATTGACAATTGGTCAATCTTTCTGGTGATATAGATGTGCCCTTGAACTAAGACCAGAGAGTTTTTTCAAAAAGTGGTTCTTTACAAAAATCTGGGTTAATCCTCTTCAATACCTTTACTGTCTTTTCTTGTGGTTTTCAGTCAAGCATCCATACTGCAGCAATGGTTTAATCAAGAACATCAGTGAACCAGTGGCAACAAAGATCAGCCCATTTGGAAAGAGCTACATCTCAGGCTCATGGGGCAAAGAGGCTCAGGTGCTGGACCGCGATGGACCGGTGGAGGACCAAGACATCTACTGGGTGCAGCCTCTGGTCAACAGCCACATCTTTGGCAATGTCCTACGCGTCTATCCAACCTACGACGACTTCATGGCCACTACTAACCACAAAGATTACACATTTGCCCCGTCCCACACCCACGCCAATTCTATAGAGGGCCCCAGTGCTGTGCTTTATGGCAAGGCACTTTACTACCACTGCTACAAGTCCCAAGAGATTTGTCGATATGACCTGACCAATAACAACATACAAAGAGCCACACTGCCTGGTACTGGTGTGGGCAGACACAACAAGTTTCCTTATTGCTATTACGACTGTCGCGCACACAGTGACATAGACTTGGAAGCGGATGAAACAGGTCTGTGGGCTATATACGCGACATTGGGTAACCATGGCAACATTGTGCTCAGTAGGATAGTATGGGACGGTAAGACAGAGACTTTGAACGTAACTCAGACATGGGAGACTAGGGTGTTTAAGAAGGCGGTGAGCAATGCTTTCATGGTGTGCGGAGTTCTGTACGCAACCAGGTATGATAGTGAGAACCGCGAGGAGGTGTTCTATGCGTTTGACACGGCGACAGGGCGAGAGGACAGCAGCCTGGCTCTGTCCCTGGAGAAGGTGGCGAAGGGTGTGGCCAGTCTGAGCTACAATCCCACAGACAAGAGGATCTACATGTACAACGATGGCTATCTCCTGGCTTATCAGGCGATGTTCTACTGAAAATATATCAACAACATATTCACTTAACAAGGGTGGACTGGAGATTTTATATAGGCTGTTGCAAGATAAATCAAACCCACAAACATTTGATTCAAATCCCTTCACAGACACGATTCAATGTTTATTTTCATAATTTGAGTTTATATATCAAAATAAAAATTACATCAGAACTGAGTGTGATATTTTTACTATAGGGGAGGGGTGTATAAGTGATTATGTAACATGTATTGTGGAGTTTTAATAACTGGTAAATAGGGGCAGATATAACAGTCATATTTTTGTATACACACATGAAATGTCTCTTTTCCAGATTTGTCAAATTCTTTACCCCTCAATAACGTCTGTACATTTGCACATGGGTTCAAATTGGTTGAAATAAAACTTTGGTTGAAACAAGGTTGATTAAATAAATGTTCTTAAGTGAAGCAGTAAGATAATAATAGGTTTTATATCATTTATATTTTGTATTCTTTACAACGAGAGGTGTCCTTCATGCAATTACTCCATACATACTGTAGGTGGTAAATTACTGATGTTGTCATAGCTGCCCTGGGGTAGACTGACAGAAGATGGGTACTTATTTGTGCCTTCGACCACCACCAAACCTACACTCATACACAACTTTTGTTTAGGCAATGTGGGTGAAGTGTCTTACCTAATGACACGATGACAGTTTGGCACTTTACAACCCCAGTCACCCCAATGTGGCACTTGGTGTTCCCAGTGGTCTCCCATCGCAGCACCTGCCCTGCTTAGCTGCTGAGATCTGGCAGAAGAAAATTATGAATTAAGTATTATATTGATTATACTATTACCTTGTGTTACCCTGAGTTTTTCCAAGTAGAGTCATTAAATCTACCTGGCTTTATTTTATGGTTGCAGTATCTTCCATCACCCACAGAGGGCAGTGTGCCGTAGTGCGACGCCTGTCAGAACAGCTGTTGCCATGATTTGGCCTGGTTCTGGTTGTAGCTCTTGGCTGTGTTCTGATGCCACACCTCCTGCTCTGCTCTCATAATGACAGACTGTGATCCTCCTGGAGTTCACTGCTGCTGCTGCGTACATGGCTGTGGTCAGAATGATTGAAGACTCGTTGGTGGAAAATAGCCTGACATGAGCTGTAATAACACACAAGACCTCAGTTACATTCTGGTAACATCTCAGCTCTTACAGTATCTGCAAGTGCTTTCATCATTCGTAATCTCGGTATCCAATCAGACCACCAAAACCTTGAGAGCAAAAGCAAAACTAGTCAAAAACCTATGAAAATATGGGCTATTGTATCTTGAACAAACATGGACTGGCAACAAAAAGAAAAAGACAAATTATTCAAAGTCAGCCACATTGTGTACAAAGAAGTGAGTTCTCAATAATCACTGTCTGCATGATTCAGGAACACTGTATATGCAAAAAATACTTGTTATGTTATAGAAGAATACAACAATATACATTACTGGCTGGAGGCACAATTAAACCCCACCATGCTAAATTTGAGAAGAAAGTCAACAGTGTTCACATATAGGCCGCACTTGAATATAAGCCTCAGGTTTTCATGTAGTGAAGGAACACCAACAGCCGATAGACAACTGTTTTAACTGGACACAAAATGATTTAATGAGATATTTTAACTCACTGTTGACTTGTTATGGACAGTGCTTGGTAAATAATAAACATTAGCTTACATTAGCATGCCTGTTAGCTTACATGTCAGGACTCATTTACTAATCTTTATCAAACAATTATTAATAAATGTGCGTTGTATAGCTAGCGCCACCTTCATGGGAACGATTTTCAGACCTCTAAAACCAAGCAGGGAAGGGCCTGGTTAGTACTGTGATGGGAGACCTCTGAAATAACCAAAAGTGCCACAGTAGGGAGGCTGCTGTTGTGTTCTTAGGCAAGACACTACACCCATAGTCTGGCGTGTGAGTGGTGCTGTTGGGAAGGGCGGCCATTGTTCTGTCAGTGTATCAGGGCAGCTGTGGCTTCAGGAGTAGTTTAGCACCACCATGTGTGGAGTGAATGAAAACTCTGTATAGTGTCTTTGAGTGTCCAAAAAGTGCTATACAAATCCAATGCATTATTATTACTGAAACTTGATGGACTCAAAATAATAAGTCCATAAACTGTTCTGGCCCTTGTCCAATGAACCTCCCTGCATTTTTCACAAAAAGATAAACAACAACTGATAGGGGTGAGTCCAAATTCTTTCTCGTGCCCCGGAGGACACAATGAGAATACATGCATGCAAAATGTTTAAAGAACTTGTTATAAGTAGCTGCTTATAGTCTGGAAATCACGTTAAGTTTAAGCTCCATTTCAAAGCGATGTAAGTAGCCGATATTAGACACTGCTGTAGACCCATATTCATAATGCAGCTTTAACATATATGACAGTGGCACAAGCTTCTTCCATTGGGGTCTACTGGGCTGAGCATGCATATTCCAGCAGCATACATGAAGACAGTGCACCAGAGCGCTCTTACTGTGATAAACTGCTTCTGACACCAGTCTCAGAGCCGCACTACGACACAGCCCTGCATATGTGGCCTTCACGCACAATCACATGTTTCCTCACCCAATGCGAAGACGAAACATACTCTTCTCTCATGCTCTATTTGGCAACAAAACCAAAAAAAACCCACATTACATATGAGGTGCAAACACGCTGAAATAACTTGATTGATGGAAGCAGCGGGAACCTTTCTAATTTAAGAGAGTAATTACACACTCATTTGACCTCCACTGCACTGAATCAATCAACGTTTCCACAAAATCAGAGTTTTTAAAGTCACCGGGAGACCTCTGTTCTCATCTCTCTGCGATTCAGGCTGAAGTGAAATAAATAGTGGGGAGATGTCAGTGGGTGTTAACCAATGTGACCTGGGAGCAGAATAATCGATAGTTTGCAGTGATGTGAGTCATGTGGTGTGACGTCACAGGATCTTAACCGGAAACTTTGTAATTGATAATGTCTGGCACTGTCATCCCTGATTTTAGACCAGTGAATATATATATGTGTATTATATTTTCATTATGCTAAAGGAAGAGATTTTACACCCCTTTGTATCATGCTAAAGTCTGAGGTTTTTGTACTCGTAATGCTAAAGATAGAGTTTTTATACATGCTTCTTCTTCATGCTAGAGATTTTTTTAATTGGTCTAGCGTTATCGTTTATGTTGTGCTGTGTGATCCTCATTCCTGCTGTTATGTAACTGGTGATGCAACACTGAAATTTCCCATGCACTGTGGGACGAAAAAAGAATAAATCTAGCCTAGCGCAACGTAAAGAAATAGAAAACAGAGATATAAGAAATCACAGAGAAGGAACAACTAAGAAGAATTTTAAAATAGTAAAATAGTTTAAGACTTTTAAACAAAGCTCTTAGGATTGTCAATGACTCTTCTGACCACCCTGGGAAAGCCATGTTCCAGCTTCTTCCCTCTGGCAGAAGATATCGCTCTCTGAGATGCAGGACATCTCGTTACGCTAACAGTTTTTATCCACAAGCTGTTATCAGTGTGAACAGAGCACTTTAATGATTTGCACTTGTTTTGAAACTGTTTTAGTCGATCGATTTCACAGTGACACTTGTTTACTGTTTTATTTGTTTTATTTCTGTCTTTTAATGTTGTTTTATGTCTGTATTTGTCTGTGCACACTGGAAACTTTTTGCTAATGTATTCCAATGTGGTTTTTTTTTTACTGCAAATGGCAAATAAAACTGAATCTGAATCTGAATTCACAGTTGGTGTCTATAAGTATGTTTGTATATGATAAGGTTTCCATGGAGATCGTCGAGCTTTTCATGGAATGTTCCTTATAAGGTATTAGACTCAGAGGAGCAAGTGTCTATTGTGTTCCAATTGATTTTCTAATGGGTGAATCGACAATTCTGTAAATGCTGTTGGGACTTTGAGCGATATAATAAAACAGATTATGATTTTTGAGGCTTAGAAGTGGCATAAAGAAGACACAGCAAAGACATATATCTATCCTTAATTTCATTTAATATTGATAATCCGGTAACAGCTTGTAAAAGATCTATATAAAAAAATCCGACAATTAGAATATTTTGTAGTCGGACTGTATAAGCCATAATCATAAACAAAGGCTTGGCATTGTCCCTTTGCATGTAATTTAAAAACAAAATCATAAAGGATCTCTCATCTCTTATACAAGGAGCCTATAATCACAAACAGATAACACAAATAAATATCTATACATAAGTGTAATTTTTTTATTTTATTTTAACTGAGCATGGGTTGATAATGTGTTGACCATGCCCTGTGTGGAGGTTGGGGTTAGGGCCTTTCTGAGTGGAGTTTGCATTTTCTCCTCGGCACTTAAAAACCAGGACCAGGACTCATTGCTTTTGTGCAGCAAAAGACAGAGACAACATTTGACAAAACTTGACGTCAGAATTAAACGTGAGAAAATAGTGATTGAGTTACGGCTGAATCTGAATTATTAGGAGTGCACATACAGTAGAGAGGGCTTTGTTTTCCAAATGTGGAAGAAGCCATTTTGAACATGAGCTAGCTAGAGCCAATTTCCTTTTGACAGTGTGTGTTTGCATGTTCTCCCTGTGTCTGTGTTTCTCTCCCCTCAACACTAAAAACCAGGTGCAGAACTTCTCAGAGCAATCTCAGAGCAACTTTCTATGGTTAAATACAGGTTAATAAATAATACATAAATAATCCAACACATAACACTTAACTGACGACTGAGAAACATCCCGAGACATGGGAGAGACGCAGGATGTAGCTCCGTTGATGGGTGTGACAGCTCACTTCTAAATGAGACTCCAAATGAAAGGCCCAGAGCTGAGTTTACAGATATAAATACATGTAAAACTGTAGACTCTGCTAAATGACAGGGCACAGGGAAAGTGTGCGTGGGTGGGGCGAGCTGCTGTGTGGGCCTCACCGGGGCCAAACAAGTGTATTTTTGGTCTGCTCTTATTTTCCTTTTCCCTCTCCGCTGTGTGCTACTGTGG